TTAATTTTCATTACTTGTGTGCTTGATATTTTACTGATAGTGTTAGGAGAAATTCTGTCTTTTTCACTAGTGGAACTTAAAGGGTTAAAATGGGGAATTTCATTATATTGAAATGATTAAAATATTATGCTTTCAAATGTAGCAAAAAAATGCGATGAGAATGTGGTGTTATGAAACACTTACAATGGAAAAACCCGTTGCTGGTAGTTTATGTCTTCAATGTTTAAATTTTCATGGGAAGTACTTTTCTTTGAAAGCGAGGATACAACAAAGCTGCTAGAAACAAGCTCTTTGCAAGTAATAAAATGTAAATTGACAACCATACTTTAATGCTTGACATGCTTCACTCATTCATGTTAGTTGTGTGTGTCTACCATTGAAGACGTATCCTTAAAAATATTTTTTGGTGTGGTTGTCGTTCTTTGTTTATCTTTGTAGCCAAAATTTAAAGCTTCTTAAGCACTGAACTTCAATTTTTATTTATATGAGGCACCTTCCAAGGTGGAAGGAAAAAGAAGATCATAGAGTGATGTTTATTAGGCACTTGCATCTACTGCACTAATATTCAAGCAATACTCTACATTTATAGAACTGATTTCATAATGTTTGTCTTTAATAACTGTATACATTTTATATGCTCCTTGCATTTGTTGGCACCGCTGACTAGCGTGCGTACTGATCTTTTTGCAAGTTGTGAGAACGTCATCCCCAGGTTCCAGACCTCGTCAATTTTTCCCTTCCCTCCCCACCCCTCGGACTGATCAATACTTCCCTTGAAGGAACTCTTCCAGAGCCAATGCTGAAGAGTTTTAATACAGTTTTTTATAATAATGAAGGGTTAGAAAATAAACTGACAAACAAACAAAAAACAATAAAAACAACAACAACAAATAAAAAATAAATAAATATATAAAAGCTCCGCTTTTAGACTTGGCTAAATCTATATAGTTCTTAAATTCTATTGTGGTCTCAAACCGTTGAATCTCATTTTCTATTTTGCAGTTGCTCCGCAATCCGGAACGTTTTAAGAATATTCCCTTGCCCTTATGGTCTGATGCGACCGGCACTAAAAATGTCGTTATTTTTTAAGGTGGTGGTAGTGGTGGGACTTGAGGCTGGTATAACCACATTATTTCAATGGCCCTTGCAAAATACACAAGAGCTCCTCCTTGTAAATTGCCCCACTCCCCCTTCTCGAAAAAAGATATGTACAGTAGGTTGAGGTTGAACGAGGCATAGGCCAAGGCATGGATAATCAGAGCTATGACAAAGTAGGGGATGAAAGGAGTACGCTCCCTACGTTACACTACTTATTTTAGGAACGTTTACAGAATGCTTGCGCTGTTAGAGATATCATCATTAGAACACTTGGGTTATATTTTTGGCTATCCCTTTCATACACTCGACAGTTGTCTTGAGACGTTCTTTTTTTAAATACTCCTGCACTAGCCAGCACAGCGAGTGAAGATAGGGGGGAAATCTTGGTATAAGCCAGCCAGTGAAGGCTGGGGACAATCTTCTAGAGCAGGAACATCTGAGTACATACCAGTGAAGTCATTTGCCTGCTATAAGAAAGTAAAAGGTGAAGAATGGAAATCGAGTGTTTCAAAGACTGGTCAGGAAGAAAAGAAAAAAGCATAAGATGTTGTTATCAGTGTTGGTCTTATGGAGCGGATTGAAAAAGAGCTGGTTCTTAAAGACAAAAGAGGAAAGAAGTTGTCTTTACAAGTGTCGCCAAATGTGAGCTACAATGCTCATCGCAAAAAAGAAAAAGAGAAATGGAACAACTTCCATAGCAATTTATATCACGAGAGTCAGCCTTACAACTTAGTATACGAAGGTGGATCCAAAGCTCTCTCTGGTTCTAAGAGAGAATTATTCACATTAAGCAGATATCAAGAAGAAGTAGGGAAAGATCTTAAACTTTGACTTTGAGATATCAGAGTGATCAAGTGATTTCGCAAAAGACGTGGATAATATTTTAAAGACTGCAATAAAAGTTGAGTTACCTGCTGCGCGTGCAAGTTGCCACAATACCACTGATCTCACAACAGACGCCAGTGAGAGTGTAAATCGTCAGGTTGCTAGTCAGAGGGCAAATCATACTGAAATTTTTTTTTCGCGAGCGTGGGACTTATATTTTCACGAGCGTGGGATAAAGAAAAAATTCTGAATCGAATCTCAGACCTTCGGATTTCGCGCTCCAGTTCTCTGCCACTGAGCTAAGGAGACAGTGGTGAGCGAGTTCTATTACGAAGTTCATATGACACGCGTCCTGCATACTGCTAGGATCAGCATCATGTTTGTAAATAGAGCAGAGAGATGGTAAGTTTTGAGCTGGGTAAAGAAATAGAAAAAGGTGTTTTTCGTCTTGTTACGAGCGTGGGCGAAGGTAAAAATCCACAGAGATTCCACAATAAACAGTAAACATGACTATAAAATTAGAATGTATGGAAACCCGGAAATTGGTTTTTTCTAGGTGAAAGATCCTTTAATGACTTTAAGATCTTCAACTGTCCACAGTAAGCCGGCGGCGAAAAGGGAGAAAATAGCTACATCCAGTGTCTGACGGTTAATATTGACCAGCTATTTTGACGATTGACGATAAAAATTTGTCATTTTTGACGGCTAACGGCTATATTTTAGGCCCTTTGACGGATGATTGGTTAAATTGCATTGTATAAAGTCTAGCTACTGCTAACCTTGCCTCTGAAAACAGGTTAAAATGACTGGTGATGTTATCTTGTGCAGGGGTGGCAACCTTTACGTTTTGGGAACGAACGGCTGGTCCCTCAGGATTCGCCGGTTCTAAGTAAACGCTGCGTTTGACAGTTCCATAAAATCGAAGTTAGCTAAAATTTGGCAAATATGTTGCGAGAGCAAATTTCGGTCAGAAGTGTCGTTTCAATCCGAATCACCTAACTATGGGTACTTGCAACCTTAACCCTATGCAAAACGGAGTATTTGTATGCCCTGCCTTGTTACAGTCTTGTGGGTGGTCAATTTCAAAGGTCGCGATGATCGGCATTCAAATCGGAGTTATCAAACTAAAATAGAAGATAAGGTGATTAAATACATAGGAATCATAATACATTAATTCACAAGGGCCTTGTGCATTCTGTCACCTGTTACGTTCCTTACTGCTCCATGGGATTCTAGTATTATGGCATAGCTCAAAGAATTTAAACAAAAAGATTTAGCAAATCTAATCACTTCTAGTTACTTAGTCGTCGCGACATTTTGTCAGAACAGCGGAACCTTTACTTCCGGTACCAGATTTCATCAGAGATGACGTTGGAATTAAGTTTTCTGTTGACGTTACTCACTTGGGAAGATATGGCAAGAACTGCACCCAAAGTTTTCCCTTCTTAATTGCAAAGAATAAGATAAATACTGGTGGTTTTAAAATCCTATTCTTCTCTCCACGAATATATATATATAGTCGATTGCAAAAATGTTGAAATCTACGAAGCGTTTAAACTGAAAGATGAGAGACTACGGCTTTAAGGGTCAGATGTGCATATGACCAACATTAGTTGTATCATCTATATTGGTTCATGCTTTTTAGGTGTCAACGACTGTTAACGTTTTTTCGAGTGTATATTGTATATAAAACGTATAAACATGTAATTCCGATTACGAGTCAAGTGCGTTATAATATCCGTAGGCAGCAGCCACAACTCGAAACAACTGTGCCCTGAGTGTTTAGTTTGTTTCTGTGTTTTTCTTAGCACTTAAAATGGGCTGTGCATTAGTAAGGCTATAATTCTAGAACTAACGTGACAGGCACTTTTATTAAAAATCCATCGGAAGTATTGGATAAAAAAAAAAATGGGAAAAACTATATAAATAAGATGTTATAACAATTTCTAATTTATGACGCAGACACCCGGATTTATGAGCGAAACGAGCATATAAAAGGTTGAACAGACACATTAAACACTGCACATACTTCAGGTTTATTTTATTTTTAAGAAAACACTCTCTCACTCCCGTAATTATGATTCTCATGGGCGAAGCATCACTAACGGATACTAAAAGTCGTTTCTAACTGCCTTTCTATTCAACTAATATTTTTAAGCCATCTTTAGTAGCACAAAATTAGTGAATTGAGCAGTGGAGTAGTTAACACTGTCAGCAGGTTTCTGTTCTTAATATCTTTAAACGTTGGCATCATTGCAATGCTATTTTTATTTCACTAAGAACAGTCCAAGGTATTCCTTGAAATCTTACTACTCTTTAATTAACCTGCGTTATTGAATTTTCCCGCTAATCGCCTGCTGAGCTGTATAAATGATCCAAAAGGTTGCATGGAAAATATTAGCACATATATGTAGATCGTTAGTCCATCGGGAACACAACTGCATAATAACCCAATCTAAACTACTAATCCCTAGAAGATAAAAAAAGAGCTTTTATGAACTTAAAGCAATTTTAAATGGCTTCGTTATCCGTGTCAAGAGCTTGCTCGTTGGTATAACAGTTTTCTTCCTCTCGGTGATCGTCGAAATGACGCTGGACTTTATGAAGCTCGACGCCGTCGTCTTCGTTGTAGGCAATTGTAGTTCCTGTTAGCGCTTGCTTTGTATTGCGGTTTCTGAAACGTTATAAGCAGTCAGAATATAAAATATGATTATTTACGTGTTCTTCTCTTTCCTAGAGCTGTACGAAATTCCAAGTTCTTTCTCTGTCGGTATCGGTTGATGTCACATTTTCGACAACTATTTCATATTGCAAAAATATACGAAGGATAATAAACGCAGTAGCTTCCAATTGCCGCGAAAATATGCCCGTATATGTGCCCTTGGACATTATCTGTTCCTCGAAGCTCACAGTAATTCAATTAATTGTCAAGCTTCGCTCTGGGAACTGTTCGCATCGTGGAACAAATGATGTAAGGGGACAAATGGAGGCTATTGTTTATATAGCATAAAAAGAAGGGGGTCTCATTTGATACTGGTTATCAATAAGCTACCAACAGTGACAAAAGTGAAGGAAACTCACCTGCGACATCCCAAAATACAAAGTATGACGACCAATATAACCCCAGCTGCTGCCCCACCAATAATGAAATAGCTTTTCGGTATTTCTTCATGATGAACTTTTGGAGTCTCTGTGAAACTGCTCTCAGTGGAAGGGTCGAGGAACGCAATCATTAGGTTAACAACAGTCACATTCAGGGCCTTTTCCAACTTTTCACGGAATGAAGTAAAGACTTTCAACAAAATGTTTTTATCCAGGACAGAAGGAGAATTAGCAGCCACTCCAGGTGGAAACTGGACGTAGATAGCAACTCGAATCTGCATAAAATACAGGGTTCGCTCTGGATAACCTGGAAGAAGGTGAACTTGATCTGACGTGAAAAGTATGTAGTCTAGTGCCCTCCTGAAATCAAAACCATACGATTCTTTCTTTAGCTTGAGAGAGATAGAAAACCAATTGAACTAAACAGAAGAATGGTCATGAAGGGAATTAATTAAAATAATTCTTCTTATTTTGTTGACAAAAAACTGAACTCTGTTGTTAAATGTGCAATTTACGTCCAGTTCTAGGCTCAGTTGTTCGAAGAACGATCAGTACCAACCTAGGTTAAGATTTTATTTGTTTTTCTTGACTCCCTTGAAAAGCTTTTTCAGATAATTTTCTCTATTCTTTTTAGAGCATTAAAGCAACAAATTATATTCAAAAAGAATTATGATGAATTTTCCTATAAAGCTTTCGGATCTGGCGTCAGATTTCACACTCCCCCTGAGTTATCTTCACTCAGCTTTGAACAATCCAGCCCTGTTGCTATCCCAAATCAATAAAATAGCCCTAATCAATTTCAGCCAGAAACGAATTCTTGAGATAACAAAATGTAACTGATTTTTGGAGCATAAAAATCTCATTTACGTACAAAACGAAATTAGTGGAAAAATTTTGTTATGATCAGGGTTAGCAATGAAATAGTAACCTTTTTCGAAGCGCTGTTTTCACACAGTCTCTGCTTTCCCCACAGAAAGTGGTCACAGAATCTGCAACTGCTCCTTTGAAGACTTGTTCTACGGGCAGGTTCCACTAAATAATTGTAAAAGAACAAGGTTGATAAATATATGAAAAAAATGATATTCTGCATGTTATAATCATTAAAGTAAATTCGATAAGACGTGTCCTTTGGAGAAAGACAAATTTTTTTTCTGCAGTTTTCAAAAAACTGGAGGTTTCTTAGCTTGTAAAATATTCTCAGTATTCATCCAGTTTCCTGAAGGCTATTCAACATATTGAAACTTTTAAATTAATTCTACTCTCGTGCACCCACACAAACACGACGATTTTTCTTCTTTTTCTTGGGAACGTTAGCAGTTTAAAATCTAGCCTTCATTGATTTTTCAATCCTTTTCCCTTCTCACAAATGAACCACATAACCGCGAAAATAAACGTGTACGAGAGCAAATGGAAGTGTCCTCGCTGTGTATGTAATGAAGAGAATATTTGATGGTCGCGAGAAGACACGATTTTTTTCTTCTTTCTGAACAATTTTTTCACTTTTAGGGTTTGCTCACTCATTAGAATGGACATTCATGTTTCCACGTGGCCATTAACATCCCCTTCCTGACTATGACTTTGAACATAAACTACTCGTATCACATTCAAGTCAAAGGCAATACCTGAGATAAGTTGAGTCCTTTAATTGTCATAATAATCGCTTGACGTTTTTCAATCAGGGACGGAATTCTTGGATTCGGTGCCGGCGGTGGAGGAGGTGCTTTTTCATCCTTGTCCAGACCTTGAGTAGAGCGAACAAAGAAAACGTTATGGATAAAGTCTGTAACATCATTGCAAGAGAATTTGAGTCGACATTCGAAGTTTTGAGGTGACCTTTAAAATGATTTGCGTTTAGTATATATCCTCAGGCTCATTACCAGAAATATACGGTGATAAATTTTAAATCCTTTTAACGAATGATAAGTTTCTAAGTGTGAGTGCTACCAAATAAGCTCTTAGCACATTGGTTCAACTTCTCTTGCGATGTCCAAAGAATTTCGGCAACTTATATGCATGTACGCTAAAGCTTAAACATGTTTTGAAGCCGTACGCTTTAAAATTGTCTTATTCATAGAAGCTGCTAAAAAACCAATCTTCGACTTCGAATTAAGCTCATTGAAAGAGCAAGTTAGTGCTTAAAACCTATGTAAGAATTCAGTATTTAACTTCTCTTTTTCTAGATTTAAAACCCGATGTAACTAAAAATGTTTTTTTGGTGTTAATGGGATATGACACACTTCAGCATTACAATGTCCGTTCCTGTTACAACCTTATTTATTTGAAGTATTTTCCTTTGGGAAATTAGAAATTAGTAAGAAAAAACCATTTTTGCAAAGTTTTGGTGTTCATTAAACAAGGGTTTTTAAGTATAAGCTCATTGCATATTAATATTATCCTGTTTTATTAGGTTGTATACATGCGGTTTCACCTTTGCAAGTATTGTTAATCCAATAAAGTCCTTCTTCACAGACGCATTTGTAAGAACCTTGAGTATTTTTGCAACGCTGTGACGAGTCCTGACATTGAAAGGTCCACTCCAAGCACTCATCTATATCTAAAATGACAAACTAAAGTCGGTAAACTAGAACCAAGTAACCTTATATAAAGAAAAATGTTTTTCGCCTAGTCACGAGCGTGGGAAAAAGAAAAAATTCTTAGCTACATGAGGAATGGAGACCTTCGGATTCCGCGCTCCGAGGCGAATCCGAAATTCTGAGGTTCGATTCCTCATGGGAACTCAGAAGCTGGTGACAAGACGAAAAACATCTTTTTCTATTTCTTTTCCGAGCTCAAAACTTACCATCCTCTTTATTTTATGAGCCCTATACATATTTAAAGTCATCTCTACGCACGATTAGCATTTTTTTATTATTTTTTTCATTTTTTAGAAATGTTTGATTTGTTGGCTGGAGTAAGCTGTTCAGGGCATTCAGTATTTTTTTTACTTTTCCAATCATCATTGCCATTTAAGTTGTTGTTGTTCTCAGTAAGCTCGTAGTGATTACATTTCCTTGATTTCCCGTTTCTATCATTTGGGCTATGAGTGGGAGAAGTAGTCTCCTACTAGTTATCCGTCGCTCACTTATTGGTACATCGATAATCGACAATTGCGATGAACACGCCATCATGCCAATTGCTTTGCCTCAATTGGAAAAGTACGTAAATTTATATAGGCACAGTATCTCGGTTAATCTGTCCGGCATTACGTACCGGATTAAGATCCAGTTGAGCTACTCTTATTCAGCTTTACACAAGGAGAAAGTGAGTAGCGTACAAGTGATATTTAGGAATGTGTGAACCCAGAAAATTTTGTACATTCCTACAAAATTTCATGATTTTAGAGAAAGGTGACTTATTTCAAAGAATCTCCTTCCATGGAATGATAAATTAAACCGGCAGAAAAGTTGCTTAAAACATTTTAGTCTGATATAATGTTACGATTGAAAGAGAGAGGTAACACTTTTTTTTTCTCCGTGGTAATGCCTCAATTCTGCCTTTACACAAATAGTTAAATAAAATGATAAATAAAATACATTACCTAGGCAAGTGATATTATCAGCGTCCAGTCTAAAGCCGTCCACACAGGAACATGTGTAGCTTCCTTCCGTGTTGTTGCATTTATGGCTACATCTATTCTCATTTGTCGCACATTCATCAATATCTGATGGAAAAATGGCGGAACTATAAGTAGTAGAATTACTTGAAATCCTCCAGTATAACACGGCGTTAATGACATACAATGCCGTTCAAAAAAAAGGAGTGTGACTGTGAGAGTGTTTTTCAGAACATAGAAAAGGCGCTGGTAATCACTACTTTTCAAGTTCTTTCGCCGCTGTCTCCACTGATTAAAGTTTTAAATTCATTCTATGTAGATCATTTGATGTCAGAAATACTTCTCTTTCTCCTAGAAACATCAAACACAGCCTTCGGTCTTCTTTAGGTACATAAACAGTGAAAATTAAAAACGTAAAATCCTCCCTTAGGGTTCCGTGATCATTTCTGTCATATATGCTGGTTATATCAAGCTAGCCATAAATGTTATTTTTTAGAGCCGTTGGATCCCTCGTTATGGTATTAGCCCTGAAGAAAACAAGTAGTACTATTTGAAAGTGCCTTACGTCTTATACTAGGTGCCAATCCTGGCGGATATCTATTTGGTTTATTTATACTTCATTTACCAGGTTTTGGCTATTTATTTCAAAAATGCATAGCTTGCAACATAATTGTAAATCTCAATTTAAAGGGTAACGTTTTTAAACGGGAAATACCATTTGGTGCCATCTCGAACACGGCTGACAGTACATGATACGTACGAATTCCCTCTCTCTTACCTAAAACCAAGTGTAATGAACTCTAATTGAATTCGTTCTCTCTCTAAACGTTTACTAACGGGCCCTGTATAGTTTCTTAAATTAATACAATTACACCTACCTTTACAACTATCGCCATCGCCTCCAAGAAGATAGCCTCGTCTACAAGCACACTGTTGAATTTTGTTTGAACCAAGATAACAGATGTGCTGACAGTTATGTTTATCTTTCTGACATGGAGAATCGGCTGAAATGAAAAGGCTTATAATAAATATTATCTTTTTTCATATATTTCATGTTGCTTACCAAAAAAAGCGTTTACAGGATCAAACGACTTGTACCCGGCAACACATTATGAGAAAAATACTTACAGCGATTTCTGACATTGCTTAAAATGGTCACGCATCTTAGGAACAAGTCTCTGAAGGAGTCAAACATCTTGGGAAATGAAAATTTTCAATCCCCCTTCAAATTCTGCATGCAGTTAGGCACCCAGGGGGGATGCACAAAAATGCCCTTTCTAAAGGTCTCAGCACTCTTGTTGCCATGGTAACAACGGCTGCTTGTTCGAGGCCTGGGGCCTCATTTTCATACAAAAACGTCACAAAAAAAGAGTGAAATGTTTATTTCTCTATCTCAAGCTAAATACAACATTACAAATCAGCACTTCTACCATACGTAGTAACATCATTCGTCTTTACATTGATGTATTCAATTTTCCCTGGGAGTGAATGTGAACACATCAATAGATTATTTATCTTGGTACAGTTTCGGTCATTTTTGTTGTCGGGTAAAACAGAGAAATCGTTTCTCTGAATTTCTCCAAAAGCACACCGATCCTGGAACTGAAACTAACCACCTAGCTGGTTATAATATTCTAGTTTTTAAATATGTAAAAATCTCTGTGGGCTCACCTCTACTTTTTATAAGGGCAATTCGCGAAAAAAGCTCAAAATCAGATATTGCATAATTTGGCGATGTTTACACCTAATGTTCTCAACAACAAACTTTTTAGACAAATGAAACGTGCGAGGCTTTGAAAGAATGTTATCTTATGAGCAATAATCCGAAGATAAATCTCGCCTCTAGCTGTCATCTTTAAAAAAAAATTGATCGATTTGGCGATGTTTACATTTAATGTTTTCAACAACAAATGTTTGAGAAAAATGGAACATGGAAAAATGGAAGGCATGGGGGACTACTCGACGTAAATACAAACGTATACTTCAAATCGTGTGCATATTATCCAGATTCCGAGTGCTGCACCTTCTTTCATGGGAATTTGAGCGATTCGAAGTCCTCTGAAGGTACACTGTTATACTTGTATGTCATTTTAAACATGTTGAAGTCGGCTGATCTACACGAAACTATCCTCATGCTGGTCATTTGTCACGATGGTGTGACGCTGTATTTCTGGATGAAGTTTCCATCGGTCGCCCAAAAGAAGACGAGAAATGGACATTTTTCGATATATCAGCAGATTTCCGCGCATTCTAAATGAAAACAACCAAAAAAAAAAAAAAAAGAAGAAATCCTCGATTGAACGCTCGTAAGCACTGAGAATCTGAGATCATAATTCTCAACTAGTCTGCGGCATTACTACAAGTAAAACCCAGTCGCCAAAATAGCAATTTATACGACTCGCGCGAAAGTCATCACAAAGTGGAGATTTTGAACTACTCAGTATCCCTGCAGTACGGAACAGGGATTTCCTCACAATCAATTTCCGAAAATTTAGTTGTTTTCAAGGAGTCTTTCACGTGCTCGAACGTTATATTGGCTTTGAGGCAAGAAATTTATTTCCCTTGACAATAAAATGCTTAAGAAAGTGCTAACAAAATTAAAAAGGAACTATTATTGGTGTCGCTTGGACCGAGAAATACAGATTTGAAATAATTAATGCCGTCACTGATGAACCAAAGGGCACAATCATCTCAGTTATTAGCTTGATAATCTCTACAGACTAACGTTGTTGGACCGAACGATCTCCTTTTTCTCTCTGGTGAGCCGGCCACCTCAGGGGAAAATTAAAGAGACCTTTGACTTGCTCTCGTGTAAATCACTGGGAGATTGCGTTATATTCATCTTTCTTTAAGCTTGTAAAAGATATCCGGGAGATAAGTATGGGAAATAATGGTAATGAAATCGCTGTTCTTTTTCCTGAAGGACATGAAGCAATCCAGATTACATATTAACCACGGGGATTTTCGTTCAAGTGACAAGTTGCGTTTTACATGTTACTAATAAGTTGTTTGAACGGTAGAATTATGACATTATGATTTCATTAAATCTTTTATTTCGAACTTTGTTATGATTTTTTCTTTATCAAGACATGGAAGGAAACATTGACTGACTCGATTGCACTGCGGCGGTGATAAGTCTCTCCTCATCATATCTTATGCAAATTTTCACATGATTCGGGATATCTTAGTTCCTATCACAAGGAAATGATAACTGCCAGAATCTGCTCTTTGTAAGGAGATGCCTTTGTCGTTCAAATTGCTGTTGTTGCAATTGAGTTTTAAACGTAGTGCTGCCGCTGACAAGTTACGATTTATACACTCAGATTCTCCGTGTTTACGAGCGTTCAATCGAAGTTTTCCTCTTTTTTTTTTTTTTTTTTTTTTTTTTTTTTTTACTTCAGAAAGCAGAAATCTGCTGACATATATAAAAAATACCCATTTTGTTGTCTTCTTTGGAGCGACCCGATGGAAACTTCTCGGAGAAATACAACGTCACACCATCGTGATAACGTACATGTTTATGACAAATGACCGGTGTGAGGATAATTTCATGTAGATCAGTCGACTTCAACATGTTTCAAATGACATACAAGTATAACAGTATATCTTCAGAGGACTTCGGGTTGCTCAAATTCCCATGAAAGAAGGTGCAGCACTCGGAATCTGGATGATATGCACACGATTTGAGGTATATATTTGTAGTTACGTCGAGTTGTCCTCCATGAAGGTTGATCAATTTACAACAACCAACCTGCAACCTTCAAAAAGAGCATTTTTGTGCATTCCCCTGAGCGTCTAACTGCATGAAAAATTTGAAGGGAGGTTGAAAATTTTCATTTCCCAAGATGTTTGATTCTTACAGAGACTTGTTCTTAATAATTATAAAACTATCGGAGAAACTGATCAAAACTTTACCAAACAGAAACTTAAAGTAAAATACTTACTCTTCCTAACAGTATTTATCAGGTGATAGATAAAATGGATTTTACATCTTAAAAGAATCGCTGTGTACATCACAGTAACCTAAGTTTCTAGGTATGGATTTTTTCAAGGAAATGTAGACTACGGTCAGAAAATTATAATCATATACTGTCCACTCCATGTAATAATTTAACACCAAGTGCGAGTAAAGCAATTTAAAAATCACTTACGTATACAGTTTTTGGGATTTGAAGGGTCCACTTTGAAGAAATCATCACAGCTACATCGGTATCCGCCATTTGTATTTTCACACTTGTGCATACAGTCGCTGACAGGAACGCATTCATTGACGTCTTATTAAAGAAAAATTGAATTAACAAATAGAGAAGGCTTGACTGTGCTCTGTTCTATTGTAAAGCACGCATTAGAGCTTACTCAGAGATGCAATGAAAGAGAAAACATGGGAATTTGATACTTTACCATCACAATTTTGCTGGTCAATGTTGAGCAAGTATCCTTTTCTACAGTCGCATGTGAACGAGCCTGGTGTGTTGATACAGACTTGACTACATCCGCCGTTCGACCCACGTGTACATTCGTCAAAGTCTGAAGAAAAGGAATAATTATGATGGTATTTTCATAACTTGTGTACTGTTAGGAGAATAAATTACTTCAACTTCAGAACTTTCGTCTTCTTCTAAAGAATACTCAGAGGCTTCGGCGGCTACACAACTTGAGCATCCATATTGAATGAGCCTGAGGTATTTATTTATCAATTGGACTCAGTTTTCTTGAAAAAAAGAGTCGTACTGGGATCAGGTCGATGGAACTGCCATGTGGGTGCCGCTAATGTTTGAACCCATAATTGTAGCAATACCAGAAAATCACAGAGTCTAAGTCAACTAAGTACCCGACATAATGTTCATGATTTCTTCCGCAAAATCGCAGCCCCATTTTAAGGTAATATCAAAATAGTTGTATATATGTTGTAACCCTAAAAAATTACTTGTTCTTTTAAGGCTCTTTGACTGATTTAAGGACTACAGTGAAATTGGATCAGGAATACGTTTGCCTCTTCGCAAATACATATGTTTTGAGCTATGCCAGCAATCCAGTTTGAAATGGATACCTCGACATTTGGATCCATCTCCAGTGAATCCACTGGGGCAAGGTCCACATTTATAGCCAGATATATTTTCTGGAGGGGGAAGGTCGATGCACTTTACTCCGGGGTAGCATGGGTTGAGATTTGCTTCACATGCGTCGAGGTCACTCTCGCAGAACGTTCCTGTATATCCATTTAAACAACTACACTCAAGTAAATTCATCTTGTTGCTATCATGCGTTGAGTTATTGTTGCTGGCTGAATGAAGGCAAACGCCATTGTTATGACAAGCACAGAGATTAATAATTGGCTTCAAGAATGCTGTTGCGCCCTGATCGTCTGTTACCACGAATTCTAATTCAATCTGCAAACAGGAAAGCCTTAGTGGGTAATACGTCCTTCTCTTCACATAGGAAAGACAGAGAAGCAGCCACACAGTGGCTGACGAAGGTATTACATGTAGTTGAATACCTAAGTGTTGTATAGGTAATAACGTAATCTATCTTGTAATTTGGTGTAATTAAGACAACAAAATTGTACGAGCCCGTAGGGCAATTGAAATTTGAAAACCTACAAGTGCTTATTTCACCAAATTGCAAGAGGTTCATGTTAGTACTTGTTAATAATGTACACTAAAAAGCATCGCAGAAAGTCAAGACGGAAGAAATTTGAAAGCGTGCGCGTACTATATGTCATTTGCATTCGTGTTACAACTTTGCACTCGTGTTACAATTACACTCGTGTTAAGTGAGAATGCCTTCGTTTTCAGCCCATCAGAAGCGCATAATTTTTTCATGTACACTATTAGTAATGTTAATATGTTATTTTAGTGTTTCAAGTAATGTTAGTGCTCTGAGTAACTTAGTATTTAAGTACTGTAAGTAATGCTGCATCGAAAATAATGTTAATATTGAAAAAATGAAATTAAGTAAATGAAAACTAACAAACAACAAACATTGGTAATAATACCGAGTGGAGGCCAACTCGGCCTGTAATCATGACAGTGATTAATTGCAAGTATGAATAACTATAAGATGATACGATTTATCAAATGCCCAGAAAAATAACTGTGCATCTAAATGCATTTCAAATAATGCAATACAGAATTCACTGAAAGAATACCTGTTCGTTAGTTCCGTTCCACGTGACTGTCACAGAGTTGGAATTATTCCGTAGAACAGCTGTACGAGGTAGAACGCCGAAGACAGAGAATATCAAGGTGTCGTTGTTTGGGTCTTCTGCAACCACAGTCACACTAATACTCTGATTCACAGTGACATTAACTTGGGAGAGCTGTGTGACAAACCGGGGTGGATAGTTTTCTGACAAAAATAATAGATGGTATCGGTACTCTTACATGTACGAAACTGTCATATTGAAAATCTCATTTTATTTTCATTAGTTTTAAAAAGCTTTATTACACTCAACGCTCAGTCCAGGATCGAAAAATTTCTTGTTTGTTCGTCGGGTGTCAGCGGAAGTCTTTTTTAGCGTAAGAAACAACAAAGACAGTTTTTTGACGTTTATTGATATAAATGGACTTAGCGCAATGGGCCATCTCACACGTAGGTGTGGATGTTAACGTTTTATGATGTCTGAAGTAGACGTGCACTGTTTTTTTATCCCTTTAAGATTTAAAGTGGTTGTCAAAAACCAGATAAGCAGAATTTAATGAAGGCCATCTTCCAAAAGGCATTAATGAAATATATGTTATAGCTTACGCGCCCATAGATATACCAATCCAAGCACGTGCAGCTTAGGTCCCTAGTCATAAATTTTTTCGAATGGTCCAACGTCCGTTTCATAAACACTACTATTGTGAGCAGAATATAAATGAAACTTGAAGACGCTGATGCTTTTTAGACACGAATGGTAATAACTGAAAGTTGAATACCGGTGCTTTTAGTGCGTTTTAGCAGCTACCAAATCGTCAAAAAGCCTAGTGTTGATCTTCAAACAAGGTACTGCACTAAAAATCTTGAATCGAGGGAAAAGAAACTCGACTTCCAACGACCTTTCGTGTATTGTAAATGAGGTAACTTACTAAGAGAAGTCGACTCTTCCTCCAGTGTGGACGACAGTGCTTTTGTGTTTGCGCCCATTAAAACATCCTTAGTAGAGGCGGAATCAAATAAGCAGTTGAGATCCCCTTGGCAAGCTTCTTCCGCTTGTTTGCGTAACGTTTCATTTGGGAAGGAGAGGTCTTCCAGAAACATAGGAACAAAAGATGCATTTTCGAAAGTTTTCAAACTTTCTCCTGGTTCGTATGTGAAGAGTGTGGACCTGTTGTCTACCTGCCCTATTAATGAGAAAAATGGGGAAAAGCTACAGTGTGGCCAAATGATTCCTTGTCAATCTAAGGATTACAAAAAGGATTAGGCGGATTACCTAAACCTTAAACTCCTCGAGGGCTAGGGCATAACGAACATTATTAAGTCTAGTTCCGTGAGTAATCAAAGACTGCCCTTTTTCAAGTTGAGGTGAGTCTTTTAGCCGGGGGTGTCTTATAGCTGCATAACTATGGCAGTTTAAATCTGTAATCCTAGGCAGTCGATTGGAAGTACGTTAGCTTCGATGAGAAGCGCTAAAAATTTATTTTTCAAAATATTGAACTTGCCTTTGCTTCGCTGACAGGGCCTTTGCTTCGCTAAAAGGGCACTGACCCTGAGCAGCAAAGCGCATACTTTCAAAAAATTTGAATCACATAGGTAAATAGAACTTACTTAAAAAGGTGTAAGCGAGTAGTTAAGGCATAAGTTTTTTAATCAAAAAAACAATGCTAACGTCAAATACAATAATCATTTTACAGCTAAAACTTATAAAAATAATAGATGAGGGGAAATTTAGTGATGAAAATTCCACGAGGTGGCTCATCTTATCCACTAATGTTAGAATTTTGGTTTTGCGGAAGGAGGAAAGTTGGAAGACTTGAAGATAAACTGTTGGCGCAAGGACGAAAACCGAAAGCAAACTCAACCAATATGTGACGCTCGGGCGTCGAACCAAGGTCACTAGGGTGGGAGGTTAGTGCTCTCACTAATGTATCATCTCTGCCCCTTAGACAACTTAACATAATTGCATTATGAAATCAATTAGAACTTATAGGAAAGAAAACTTTACTCACAAAGAAGACCAAAATTGTAATGAATGTCCTTGCTGTTCGCGTCCGGAGGCAAGATGGTTCCATTGGGCGTCAAAAAGTCGTCTTCAGGATCATCATTCCATCTTCCTAACAGGCCCTTTGTTTGATTTTTGAAGCTCTTTGGTGCAGCAAGTACTATTGAAAGTGCTCCCGAAGCAGCTTTTGCTGTGACTGATATCCCCGATGGAAAAACCATTACAAAGGAGTTATTGTCAGGTTTGGCAACAGCAACAGAACCCTTGAGTGTAACAGATTCGTTTGAAAGGCTAGTGTAGTTAAAGGACTCTCCATCGATCAGCACGCTTATTTCTGTAGATAGAATTAGCCGATAAGATCATATGACGAGAACGCGTACCAAAAGAACAATCTATTTTCACTTATTTCCAAGAATTTGGTTGTTTAAGTTCGTAAAAATGAACAAGATCGGACGATGAAAAGTTACGATAAAATTGAGGAAACCCTCAGATGGGAGAAGATTTGGTAATCCATTCCAACCATTACATTTTGTTAAATTACAGACCTGCGTCGTTCAACTCAACCTGGACAACACTAGAATTGCCTTCCTTCGCAGCTGCAGCAGAAAACACTGTTGCTGTTCCATCCCCTTTTGCTAGTTTCGTCCGAGCTTGTAGCTGAAAAAATCCGTCACGAGCATCGGTCATTATGTATTCACCAAGACCATTAAAGGTGTAGTTTTTGCCATCAAGAGTGACAAAATGAGGGTCACCCCAGAGCCAACCTAAAAAAAGAAAAACTATATGAAATATATTCCTGAATCAATTACATCTTGATGCAAGCAACTTGAAGGCAAGCAGAATGCCTTGATTGCAAGATTCTACTGAGAGCAAAAGGTGTGTGGGTGCATAATGATATTTAAAAAAAAATCCTTACTCCATTCTGGAACTACATAATTTCCACAATTATCGGAAGGGCGTCTCTTGTAATATAAGTCACACAAGTCTGAGTTGACGCAGCACTTTTGATAGCCTTGTACATCGCTCGAGTCGTGTTTAGCTCTTAATTCCTCGGTCAACTTGTGGTATCTATGTGCCGAACCTCCACCAGGATTTCCCACAAGCAGTGCACCCCAGCTTTGCCAGTTAGTGGAGTAACAACATTCCTGGCCCCACCCATGTGATGAGGGGAATTGAGCGTAGCCACACATTCTTGGCCAGTCTCTCCAGTTCACTGTGAACCTTTCGTCCCACCATGCTTGTCGCAGGACACAAGGACAAGGTTCGATGTATTCAGTGTAGAATCGAGGATCTGGTTGTGCTTTGAACCAGTCAATGCACTCCTGTCTTGCGTTAAGTTTCCCGAGGGATTCTTCCAGTCTGAAAAACCACTTCCCAACCATGTCAGCGTTACCTCTTATTCCGTCGATTGTTTCTATGTTGACAGTACCCGATCTAGGAAAGAGACAAACGGGAAACTTCCCCATCGATCAGATTTTCTACCACCCAATTAAAAGATAAAGCTATGTCCTGAACAACACAACCTACCGTGGCATGTTATATTTGCTTTCTCCCTTGTCTCCAGCATTCCAACCAACCACAGGCAACCCACGTGAGTTGTAATAATATCGATAGTACATTCTGCAACAGAAATACAATTATTACGTTCATCTGGAGACGGAAAAAAAATCTGAAAACAACTCTTTCAAAATTGCACAACTAGGTAAAGGCAGCCGTAGAGCCATTGAACTGCGATAAGGTAGCTAACTGAGTGACATATTAAATTTATAACCCACTGGCATTCGCTTGTATAATTCATGCACCAACTCTTGTGTTGAGAGATGGCCAATACACAGGATTCTAACTTGAGATTGTGAGTCAGTTGCTGCATCAAGAAATAGTCCATTGAATTCTCCCGTCTAACACTAGAATAAATGTCTTTCTCCAAACTCCTAAACTTAACGTGAGGTCTCAAGGTTAGGGGGGGATCCTAGTTTCAGTAATAGAAATAGATTTCTTTCCCTCAGATCATGTTCCAAGAAAGAGTCCTTGGTATAACATTTATTTTGTGCTTTGTCTACTACAAGTAGCTTATTCTCGTTCCACATGTTCGTCGCGAGATCATTTTTTCATGCAGTTTTCTGATGGGGATTTGTAAAAGTAACTGTATTTCTTTAACACTATTCAAGCAGTATGAATGGAATGGATGATGCCAGTTTTTGGACCATTATACTTTAATTAATCATTTGAAAGTGATTTTTTCACAGACGAATTGTGTCAAAGACAGTTGGTTTCGAGCTCAGAAGGACTTAGGGTACCAACGTGATGGTGTGCAAATAACACAGCTTATAGGCAAATAGACAAGTTTATTCTTCCATAGAAAGCATTATTCAAGAAACTCTGAACTTGGTAGACCTCTACACTGAGCAAACCTCTGGGTTGGAGCGGACCACTGCAGGCCATTGCTTGGATAATTGTACATCGTGAAGGAGTACACTCCATCTGTGATCAAAACTAACTGAAACGTATTTCCCTATGGATTAAATGTGATAAGTGATAAACAAGAATTTATTAAAATATGCTAAATCATACACGAATTTTGATCGGTTCTTACCTATGATGTATTAGATGACAAACGCACCAGATAACTTCACAATGCTGTTTATTATATTAAGTGAGTAAATTTCATGTTGCCGTGTTAAATATAATATCTTTAGGGTTTTAAAGTATTAGAAAAATGCATTTCTTAAACGAACTTATTTGTGTATGTATCATTTCTTCCTTCATCCGGCATGAGATTAACAGCCCCGAACATAGTGACAAGGCCTCTGAGCAAAGATCTAGATCTTTCCAGAGAGATCTCTTCTCATCAGGAGATCACACAAAGTTGTATTTCTGTGAAACTTCCTTGTTACTTTAGATATTTCCGATTCTCGTGAAAACCTTTGAGCACAAATTTCGAAACAGGTATTCTTCTATTAAAAGAGAAGGCACCACTCTTGCCTCAGTACAGTCTTAGCGTAGCTACGTTAAGACCCGATAAACAACTTGTGCGTTCGAAAAATTAGCCAGACTTTTACCTGGTTTGCCATATTTGCAGGGTACTGATACGGACGTAAATTTCTCCACGTTACCACCAGCACCCATGATGCCTTAAAGGCGGTCGGCAAAGGAGTTGACAACAGCCTCTTTGTGTCCGAAGAGGCCCTCTTCAACATAGGAGCAGAACTTGGGTCGGAATCTGAATACACGTGATAGTTAACTTTAGAAAAGCCCTGAATCACAAAAGAATCGTCCGTATCCGTCAAACCCCAATAAGGCGCTAACATTGCCTTTTTCTTCAGCCACCAACGTTCCCCGAAATTGTAAGGCCACCAGGGAAGCCATTGTGAATCAAACTGCAGCAATCCGTTGCGACAGATCTTAAAGAGAGAATAGGGTTGAGTTAGTTGATACTTAATGATCTTGTCTTGGCTAGTTTTGAATTTGTTGGCTAAACCCGGCCATTTTCTTATGAGCATTGATTCTAATAAGAATTGCTTTGGGAGAGAATTTACAAATTAATTGTGTTATGTTACTACGACACACCCTATTAAGCTTAGAAAAGAATATGACTGTCGAAGAAAGCGTGGGAAAGACCTGATAAATTAGGTATACTATTATTAGTTTTAATTGGCTATTGTGCCTCGAACGCTTGGTTACAAAGTAATCGAAGAATCAAGAAAAAAGCAATTTCTGTTAAAATCCTAGAAAAGGTTAGCAGGTTACCATCGCATCTTCAAGAAAATGGCAACAAGGCAAGCGACATCACAATCCAAAGGCATGTTACGGTTGTCCGGCGATTGTCAGACTATTTTACTGAATGCAAGAAGAGCATATATACGCACGTAGACTTTGTAATGACGCTTGCCAAAGAATTGCATTCCATCGTCCGGGATATCGATCTTGAAACATTGCCATGAGTACTCATACGTGTTTGGAATTTCCGAATCACCAGCGGAAGGACCGTAGGGGTACATGAGCTGCATCGGTGCTATTATAAGTGAAATAATGAGGCAATTCAAATACAACGTTTCGAAGAACACCATTTTTAAATCAAAATTGTCGAAAACTATTTAGTATTGAAAGATTCAACAGTGTTCTTTCACAAAATATACTCTAAAATGTGATTGGCTACATTACTTGCTATCTATTCAACAATTAGTTTAGGATCTCGAAACTTCTATTGCGAGGTAGTTGATGAGGACGAAACCCGATAAAAATCTCGCGCATAGAAATCGAAAGCGAATAATCTAATTGTTTGAATATAGATCAGCCTATCGCCTAAAAGTTAATAGCAACTCAGGTTAATGTTGTCATTTATGTTTTTACAGACATAGATAACGGGTATCTCAGCCTTTTGTTACGGTTTTTACTTCAATGGAAAAAGAAACATTAATCAACGTTATCGCAATGAAAAATAATTTCTTGCCTGGGAACGGAACCAATTCTAATTGCATTTTTACCTTCCGCTGTCGGACTCGGTGCGTTTGCTGGCTCCTCCGTCGTTTGCACTGAATCAAGAAATAGAAATGAGGTATATGAGTATGAATGCAATTTTAAATAATATTTCATTTTCGTCGTTTTGCCTGGTAGTGTAACACATTGCTTCCTTGCTCCGAGCAATTGAGTTTATACATAAATATCTCAAATTTTCATCGCAGTTTCACCTATATACATAATTTTTCTAACACCGGCCGTGCATGCTCGTGGGCGACATGAAGCAAATCATGTGTTCTGATTGGCTACCCGAGCGAGCGAGATGGGCTCATCTTGCTCGCTCGGAATTGCTCGCTTTGATCCCGCACGAGAAAAACAAACTGTTTGGAACAGACTTTCATACGTTCGTAAAGTCACAAAAAGGGGCAGAAGACAGTCAAAGCAAAGAAAACACGAACGACTCTCGTTGGTTTTTGTGCTACAAGCGCAATGTCGCGGCTCTCGACATCATGAATGCAACCTTGAATCTTTCTACTTTGTAATAAATCCTCTATTAACCAAGCTTGTTCGCTCAAGATGGCTGAATACTAGCCTCTTTCCTTTTTTGAGGTTTTATAATCTCGATTTCGTCTCGGTTCATCAAAACGCAAAACAAGGGAACTCGGCCAATAACCATCGTGATCTAACCATCGTGACTTCAGGCCTGATCAATAACGCATATAATTTGAGACTATCCGGGATGAAGATTAAACTCTTAATAAAACGTGAACGAATAGAAATTCTGAAATTTCTGTTAGAATGTGTTCTGACTTCGAATCAAACCATAACCTCGCTAACCCTAATTTCTTCGTTTTTCTACTAATCTTTACCAGTGAGTGTTTTTTCTTTTCAGTAATTTTTATCGCAACAGAAAGAAATGAGGACTTATACAATTTTTCTGTGTTACAACAAACACGATCATGAATGTTACTATTTTAGTTTGCAAATACTATCGGGCCAGCGGCAATCCGGGACCAAATCGTTGAAATTTTATCCCTAACATTGTAATATGTCTGGACAGTAAATCAATGTATCCTTATTCTTACCCCCTCTCCCCATGTACAATATTTTCAGTGTTAGTGATTGTGCATCATTGAATAGAGGAAGGGAGGATATATTTGCGGATTGAGCTCTTTAAAAAAATTATATTTCCTCATAATTCGTTAAAAAATAGTATGTAAGTTTGACGTACGAACTACTGTTTCGCGGATAGCAGTCGGGTCGATTAGAATCTGATCTAGATTAATATCTTCTGAACTGTTCACATTTAGTGGAAACTTACCTACGCCAGTTTCTAGGGTGAACGTTTGACTGATGTATGTGACGTTTGACAAGAGTAGCACTCTGACAGTGTATTCTCTTCTTGGCTGAATGTTTTGGAGCGATACTTGAGTACCATTCGTCCGTATGACATTCCAATACGTTGATAACTGAGACAACTTGTACAACACAACGTAACCCTTAAATTCACCCAAATTTTGCGTCTTTTTCCACTCTAATACAGCTGATGCTGAAATCGTGCTCTCCTCTTTTGTCGCTATATCTGAAGAGTGAATGAATAATCATCAACTCATGCCCAGCCCACTGACCAATGTATCACAAGGCTATGCATGTTTGCCATCAAAACAACTGATGGATACATAGGTGTCATGTAGTTGGTTACCGTTTGGAAAAGGAAAAGAAGTGAGATTCTATAATATGTACAGTATGATTTCAAACTGAGGTGGGGGCGACCAATTATTCGCCAGTATCAATCACCTTGCCATGTGACAGCGCTGAGCTTACTGTGCTGTAGAAAACTCTGAGATACTTTCAATGTTTCGAAACGCGTGCCAGTAGTTATAGTCATCCATAATTTATGTAAACTTTAGACATGGAAAAATAATTCCAAGTGCTCTTAGAGTCTTGTTTACGTTATAAGCATTTATTAGTCTGCAAAATAATAGGCTCATCTACCTAGGATTTTGGAAGCGATTCCCCCTCTTATCCTTACCAAGATCTATTTCCTGGGTCACCAAAAGATATCGAGCGTAGAAACCCTTTTCCTCTATGCCATTGTCTGAATACAGACGCACTGTGAAAGAACTTTCAGTGAAGGTGACAGCAAAAGGAGGCTGCTTTCCACAAAATTTCCAATCTATACTCTGAGATTTGTCCCTCACTTGAACGTAATCCGAGCTGCAAATATTTCCAGAAAGAACAGAGAACGTTACAACCAAACGGGGCAATTAAAGTAGACAGGATAGCCGATTACTCACTTTAGTACTTTTGAGCTCGAGATTTCAAACCTTAGGCATCATAAGCAAAAGATGTCGCAAGTCACGATGGGGACCTAACTCAAAACATTTAACCTGACGTAGTCTCGAAGTCGAGAACACGACTTCGCAAGGTTTCAGATGGAGACTGGAGAGCGATTACGTAGTCTTTTGTTTCCAGATCCTGGACGAAAGTCTACAAAAATGTCAACACTCCGCTCCAGACTTCCGGAATATTACACCATTCACTATTCAGTACCAGCTGTCCCATAACACTCTTTCAGCCATATATCACTTCCTTTTTAAAATTTTGCGTTTTTTCTTTGAAAAATTAAACCTAGATGATTTCTCTGATTAACGAGCTAAAGAACGATTTTGTTGATAGTAACCTAAATCAAAGCAACCAAATCTGTATTTTAATTTGTAGATCGATGTGACCGATCGAATGACAAACGCTGGAATTTTTTTTTTTTCAAAAAAATATCTCCTCATCGTGAAAATTTGTATGTGTTCTATACAGGGCCAGTGTTACAAGTAAATTGCAAATGCAATACGCCTGTTTTTTGCCACTGAGCATGCAACTTGTCGTTAAAGAGTGCATTCCATGGCTTTTACATCGCATATTTTACAGCAAGAATTCTTCTTAATTTCCATAGGAAATGTGACAACTTTGTAGCAGATAACCACGACTAACGTGCTTTTTCCTTAAGCTTAACACAACCTTGCTGAATGCCTCACAATGCAAAGGAACGCAAAGTTTTATTATTGATTTTGAAAATTGATTACCACCAATTTTGCCCCAAACCTCGCAGTGACGTCTCATTTTCACGCGATTTGCGAAAAAAATGCTAACTCGTTGTTGCAACCGCAATTCAGAGTCATTCTATCCCCAGAATCTGTTTACACTTCACTCGAAAAACCGTCTGCAACTGAAATAAGTTGTCTTCTATAATGCAACCTTTCAAATTAATAAATACCTGCATGGAGTACCAAAACCTTCTGTGTGCAAATAGTCGAAGAATAGAATAATCTTCGTTTCTCTTAATTCCATTCCTTGACCTACTATCCAAGTACAGTTGGCATTACTTGGATAATTACCGGGATAGTTAGGACTCGCAAAGTCTGGGACATCGCTGGGTACAAAAAACAGACAACCTAGAGGACATCGAAAAATAAAGTTAAAAAGTGATTAATGACATTTCGCCAATGATTAACTCAATGAAATGAGTAAGAGGGTCAGAAAAAGGGAAAGAAAATGACGTGAACGATTTATTGGGGGAAAGGCATCTTTAAGCAATTTGATATACATGCAACTAGCAAACAAGCGAATCAAAGTATCAAAATATTTTTATATCCAAAATATTTTTTACCAGTTTTGGCAAAATGTGGCCGACTCTGAACGCCAACACCAGCTCTCGTAAACCCGGCAAGGTAGATTCTGTATAGTGTCAAAACTTTCAGGCCTTTTAAGAGTACAGACGAAACTAGAGGCCCAACTGACATATTGTGATAGCTCTCTTGTGTCCAGGCCTCTTTATACAGAACTAGATAGCCTAGAAGCTCCCCTCGGATATTATCTTTATTTATGGGAGACCACGTAATTCGAATGGTTGAAGAATTTGTGCCGTGCCCCGAGACATTACTTGGCGGCTTTGAAGGAACTGCAAATATAACAAACAAACATTATAAGAAAATCAATTAAACTTCAAAGGTGAAATAACAGAGGATCCTTTTGAACGAAAAGAATTGCAAATTTTAAGATCGCTACTTTGAATCAAAACTTGATTCAAGATTAAAATTTAAAAGAGAAATCCTTCTGAACAACTCACAGCACAGCTGAATTTGAATTGTATCAATTGTGTCAAAACTGGACGGAATCGTAATGCAAACAGCAAGGTTAACAACTAAGAACTAACTGGTTGTGAAGTACACGTTTTCGTTCATGTCTCTCGAGTTAAATCCTTAACCGTAATGCGTGTGCAGCCGGTCTGCTGAGTTGTTTTCAAAGTGCGTTCTAGACAGTTTTCGAAAGGATAAGTAACACTTTTGAAACTCAAAACACGGTAATAAGTAAATTTCCTTATGTACCTCTCAATGGCAAGACCGTAGGATCATAGGATCATATAATCATGACTCAAAGAGCACTTTTCTCCTTTATTAAGAAATATGACATAGGTCTCCTAGAATTTTACTAACCGTTGGCCAGTGTTGCCTAAGCGTAGTTTCTTAAGCAGAAGATCGACTGTTAGTGGGAGTGTCCGCTGATTCATGCCCACCCACGTTCTTTTACTGTTAAAAATTAATCATTCCTCACCATCTTCGTTTGTCTTGAGTACCACAACACTGCTGCTTCTCATTGAAATCGATCCATTGCTTTCACCCTTGGACAAGGCAATCACTTGAACCCTGTATTCTGTGTACGGCACAAGCCTTTGAACCAAAGTACTAATAGACGAAGAATTTGTTGCAGCTAGACGTAAGGTATCTTTGATTTCAGTAGCTGTGCAGGCGGCGACGAAACCGTAAAAATCCTTCATCGAAAGAGAAAAGGTGTCATTTGGCCATGTCACCAACACTGTTGTCGAGGAGATGCTATCAGCAGTTATATTCCAGCCTTGTATGCGAGGGGCTTTATATGAATCATAAAAAAAGAAAAAAATTCGGGTGAAGTCAGGCTGATTCTTTACTCAAGATAAAATTAGACAAAAGGTATCGTGGCTTGTTTCTCTGACAATTTAAAGTTACTTGAACGTATCCCATGTAGTTATAAATTTAAACTGACCTTCGGTCAATGACTTGTTGAGTATGTGATATTGGGCCTTAAATCCTGTCGCTGATGACGTCGAGCGACTCGAATGGTAACGCAGGTGCAAGGTAGGACCATCCCAAACAACTGTTAATCCAGTCCTTCTGCCACATATCCTTTCGATGTCCTGGCCTTTATTGATCTCCAGGTAAATAAGTCTATTAAAAAAAGATCCCTTAATCCTTTCAACCCATATACAGCTGTTTCGAGAGAGGTTGTCGGAGAAAAAAAGCACGAGAGTGCATGCGACAACTCTGAGAGGTATTGTGGCTAGCTTTCAGGTCACGGTTCCTTGACCTAAGGATTTTAGGGAAATCAGGGAAAAAGTCACTGTAAGGACGAGGCATTGCGGGTCTGATGAATTTATTTATTTGACTTATCAAATTAATTGATTACCGGATCGATACATAGATTTCCTCTGGAGATTGATTGTAGCTTGCACTTTTGTCCTTTTTTTCGACAACCTTTCTCGAAACAGCTGTATACAAGTAAGCACATGAGATCTAGAAGCCCTGATGTAGTCATATTTCTTTGTCAACTTCAGAGCTTCCTCGTTTAAGAATATATTTATTTTATCTTGAGAAATATCTCTTCCTACTGAAGTGGGTTACTTGTCGCACAAAACGTAGGTTGACCTTGATTTTTTTCATAATTCCATTACGAGATGAAAGATAGCTTTTCAACCAGATAAAAACCAAAATATTAAAATAAAATTTGAAATATCAAACGGCACTGAAGGTAACTTTTGATTCCGCCAGGTTCCGCTCCCCTTTGATAATAAGAACAACGTAGCCGTAAATGATTACACAAGAGTCCAGGTTACCGAAAGATAACAGCACGTACATTTCACGTGTCTCAGTTATCCCATCGAAAGTTCTAGAGAGCGCGTTAAGGAAATTTAAAGAAGATTTTCTGCCGCGTGATCTAAATTTAGGAAAAAACTGGTCGTCAAGAATTTTACCAAAGAACGTACGATGCAACGAGAATTTTAATTCAGTATTTTTTTTTACTTAAGATCTTACGAAACCATGACTAAAAATAGAATAACTAGCTCCCAGTACTTTTACTGAGCTATTGCATAATTTGCAGTTAAACTACTTATTTCCTACTTTTATTACATATTTGCATTGTTCACGATCTATGGCAATTTTACTGTGTTGAAATTAACGAGGGCGATTTCCCCTTACATCGTATTGTTGGAGCTATTGTCTATGATTGTCCTCTCAACTAGTGCATCCCAAAGTCACTAACTTATCTTTCGAATCGGAACTTTGACGCTCCATGGAATCAACAAACGCCTCACATTTAGCTTCTCAAATCTACCAATACATTACCTTCACCTCGATTTTTTCTTGCGGTACAACACCAACATTTTGCGATCTATCCGACCGCAGTAACTTTAGAGAAAGTGACCCGTCATTAACTAAATCAACGCAAACAAGAGTAAAGGTTATCAAGAAGAAAAAATCTTCGTTTCCCTGGATTATGTAACGGTTTACCTGCAGTTCCATGTTAACAGTAAATTGAAATGTTCAAATGTCAGCAGGACTACTGAATTGTTGTCAGGAGCAGTATAGTTCCAAGTGCAGTCACTCCAATCGACGTTATAAGGAAACCCAGGACTAGTAATCTCGCCAAAGTGACCAGAAATGAGTGCTCCACAATCTTTGATGTATTAGATAAAACAAAACATTATTAATATTGATAATGAAATCCCAGTAAACTTTATCTATATCAGTTTGATTTAATTTGTTTGTTGTATAACGAATTAGTTGAGTAAAACACGAGTGAAAATACAGTAAATAAAAAATAACTGATTCACTCTAACGAAGTGAAGGTGAGAGAAACAGCCAAAAGATTTTACTGAGAAATATTCAATTCATTCGACTATCGCGACAGAAAGTTTTTTCTTCATTAATCATAATAAAAATAATTACATTAAATGAATGTGTGACTAAAAGCGTGTCGACGAGATTCATATGTGGTGTGATTGTTTGGAAAGTGATGCAAGCGACAAGAAATCATTTATCCTAATCAGAGATCAAGTTTATATTTTAAAACACCCAATAAAAATAATGACACTAAAAAGCATACGTGTTTTGACCCAAGTCCAATCCTTTGGACCTTCTCCCATAGATGTAAACGCTCCGACGTAAATTTCATACTCTGTGTCGGGCTTTAAATCTGTTAGCAAAACCTGCAGCTGCTCTGGCCCCACAGTAACATTTTTATAAGAGTAGTCCCTGTAGTTATAGTAATGCACTCTGTATCCTCGTAGAATGCCACCAGTATCTTCTTGTGACAGGGCATACCAACTCACAAAAATACTCTGATGATCCAAAGCGTAGACGTTCTTGTACGAAGGTGCTCGGAGGGGTACTGCAAAAATTTAAGTCGTTTCTTAGACAGGCGGTAGCCCAACAATTCAGAGAATTTATAACAATTAATGAGGAACAAAAGAATATCGCTTATTTCACTATCCAATTAAAATTGATTTAATGCATTTATGTCGCAACAATGTTTCCCATATGAGAACTAAGAATATTTGGAAAATCATTGGACGTTCTTCCAAGGATCATATGCAGCATCGTGCGCTGTTTGTCGACAGCTTTAAAAAAAACCTCATGACAGAAGAAACTGGGAATTATTTCCACTGAATGGCTTGTGTTTGTGATGTATTTGATCACTCGCTTGTTTGTTTGCTTTTTAATAATAATAATGATAATAATAATAATAATAATAATAATGGTCTATTAACAGATCCACCAGGTGGCTCTTCCCTGTTAAAATACATCAATTACAATTAAAATAAAAAAAAATTGAAAAAAAAATCAAATTAAGTTATTTCACAAATTACGCAATATGCAATTAAAACTAGAAGTAGGATTAACAGAATAGAAATTACAGTAAAACTAACTAATCACTCTGTACTCTATTACATAAAAAAATCCTTGAAAGTCTTAAAAAGGTTCTATAATCTTTACAGTTTCTAATAGATTCTGGTAAATTATTAAATAGCTTCGACGCGTTATCTTGGAAAGTGCTGTTTTCGGTCGGGACCGCTAATCTAGTGGAATTGCTTGAGCGCAGTTCCTTGCGGCATTCCTGTTTTATTACTTTAGGATAATCTGGCCAAGTCTCAGTGTTATGCAAAGCTTTAAAGCATGATTTCAGGAGATTCAAATATCTTCTCTCATTGATTGGAAGCCATCCGATTTTAAGTACATCCCGAAAGTTCTTAACATAGTGACCGAGTACAAAACTTGCGGCAGCAAATTAAACTCGTCGCAATCGGCGAAGTAAGAATTGTGGTAAAGGGTAAAAAACTAGATCAGCTTAATCTAGTTTTGACAAAATCAATGTTTCTACCAGTTGCTTGCTGAGCTCATATTTGCCAAGGTATTTCAATTTTCTTAGTATCGATAGAATGGTGTAGCATCCAGATACCATGTGCTTGATGTGATCGTCCCACTTAAGATGCTCATTGATGTGAACTCCAAGCAGTTTGCAAGATTTAATACGTTCTAGTTTATAACCACTGACTACGATGTTAGGATCATACTCGTCAAGGTGATGTACTCTGGACATTTGCGGGGTGGATAGGATTATAACCTTGGTTTTGTCGTTGTTAAAGGCGAGGGTACTCTGCTTAGAACAGGCACTTAATTTATTAATTGATTGGGAGATAGTGTTTCTACAGGTATTTAGGTCAGATATTTTAGCATGATCGTAGATTGTTGAGTCGTTCGCATACTGGAAGTATTTGACATTTTCGTTCTCCTAAAGATCAGCAACATAAATATTGAATAGCACCGGACCCAAGATGGGGCCTTGCGGAACCCCAAAATTCACGTTTTTAACCTCTGAGCACGTGTCATCGATCTGTACAAATTGTGTACGATGCGTAATATAATTGAGTGTCCACATCAGGAAGTCTCTAGGGAAACCTAGTTTACTCATCTTAGTGATAAGATTTCTGAAACAGGTCGTATCGAAGGCTTTGGAAAAGTCGGCTAAGATCATCATAGTTACCTCCGAACGTTTCATGGCTTTTACTATGTCGTCTCGTATAGCTTGAAGTACAGTAGTTGTCGATTGTGCCTTTCGATAGGCAGAAATGTTATTGTTGAGAACATTGTTCTTATCAATAAAAACAGACAGCTGACGGAAAATCCGCCGTTCAAAAACCTTTGAAAGCACTGGTAATATTGATATAGGTCGTAAGTCTTTCTCGGATTTAATTTGGCTCCCTTTAGGAATCACGCAGATGCGCGCGAGCTTCCAAGCAGATGGAAAGTATAAGTTCTTGATGCAGGTATTGATGACATCAGTAAGCGGAGTCCCTAGATAATCTGCAACCATTTTGATCATGTTTGCAGGGATGTTATCAGGACCAGTTGAACAGTCTGATCGAATGTTACGTAACTCATGAATGACCTCTTTAAGAGTAACGATCCTGATTCGAAAACTGTTATCTAAGTTTGCAGGGAGTGATTAAATCAAGTTTATAATTGAGGCGTAATCATCAACATGGTGGGCGTTGATGCCAATGGTGCGTTCGGCCGTGGATGCAAAGAAATTGTTTAGCTTGTCCGGTTGCATAGTTATTCGCTGCGGGCTCGGATGTAGGATAGGGTGAATTACTTTCCAAACTTCTTTTGGTTTCTTAGATGACAACATTCTTTCCATGAAGTTTCTCTTGGTTGAATTAATTAATTCTTTAAGGTGATTACGGGCCGCAAGGAACTTTTCCCAAGTTTCTTTGTTGTTGTTACTCGTTCTTGCTGCAGATCGTAGGCGGTCTCTTTGTTCCTTGAGGTGGTCGAGTGACCTTCGTTAATTTTAATGGTGCATGCCTATCGATACATTCCTTGATCAATGAACTTAATAGTTCGAGCTTTTCATCCGGATCGGAGACTCCAAACGAGGCTGCAAATGGTAGTGTTTTAAAGTCTTCAAAAAAGGAAGATTCATCAAAGTTGTTCAAATTTCTGATGAATTTGTGCCTTGTAACTTTGATGTTAATAGTTGCGTAGACGGCGTCATAATCGCTGACTAAAGGACATGGAAGAACATCTGTGTGCGGAATACGTTCTGGAAGGTTGGAGATTATGATCGATAAGTGTGCTCGTCTTGTCTGTTGTCCTGGTTGGTTTATGTACATGTTTATGTAAGTTTAGTGAAGATAATATGTCTTAATATTGGCTAGTTATAGGTTTATTTGGTCTGAGTAAATCTTATATGTTGATGTCTCCTGTCACAACTATAAGACCATCCCAGGTTGCTGTTAGGTAATAGAGGAGGTTCTCAAAACGCTCTAGCCATTCCGCTGAGGTTAGCATTCTTTCCGAGCGATACATTGTTCCTAAAAGAAGCTTGCTATGTTTATTTCTACCGGGAAATTCAAGCCACAGATGTTCAAGGTCGAGTTCTTTAGCCTCGATGTCAATTCTACGTTTATAGGGCAAAGTTTCCTTTATGTAAGCTCCCACACCTCCACCTCTGATGGAATTTATCGACGAGATCTTAACTGCAAGTAATGTATTTTCGTATCTAAGCATACATGTCTAGATTTGACATGTTTTTGCATGGAAGTACAAAGACAACCGATTCGCCAAGTGGAAAACACCTTTTTGTACAAGCTTAGAAAGTTTTTTGAATACTTGGATACTGCATTACTGAAATATAATGTTGGCTCGCAATTAGTTATTTTCAAAATGATGGAGTCTTGGTAACTCAGCGGTAACTCAGCGGCCCCTATAAAGCAGCTAGCTAGGGGTTATGTGGACGTCAATCACCGCCATCCTCATAAGACCTTTTCTGACTACACTCACCCGGACGATCGGAACGATCAGACTAAACAATGTAGCAAATATGTTTTTCTTATATTTTGTCTCTTTAATTTTTGCTTTAGTGGGCCAGTCAACAGACAAACACGTAAAACATGTGTCACAACTCGAAAATTTTACAAATTTAGATTGCCTCTCTCCACTGAGGCAATCTAAAGTTGTAAAATTATTTTTCGAGTGGTCACTCAATTTAAACTTTCAGTGTAATCAACAAATGCATTACGTTCAGCTCGTTAAGCTATCAAAAATTACTGTCATCATATTTAGTCCGGTAGTGTAACACCATTCTCAAAACACAAGCACACACAACCCCAACAATGCTGCGACAACAGGCTACTACTCGGAACGTCAGCTTTTTAGAATTATTTATGGCAGTTTCAATTCCAGTATGCTTTCACTTTCATTGTTGATAACAGACCCAGTGTTTATTCATTTAAGTATGCAGTCATCAATAATAATAATAATAATAATAATAATAATAATAAATACTTTTTAAATACACTTACAAGCACCCGGGAAAATCCTCTCTTAGTATCTCTAACAAGGGGACATAGGAGAAATTATTGACGACTCAAGAACTAACACCTAACGGAATAGAATTCCGAATAATGATTATTGATGGAGTAAAAGTCACTCACCCCCCTCTGCGGTTTGAATTTCAGTGCTTTCACTGGTTTTCAAAGATATCTTGCTACTCCCACGATCCCTGAGGAGAGCAACAGCTCTCACTTGGTACTTCGTGTAGGGTTTTAGTCCACTCACCACCGTACACGCATTATGTGCCAAATCCAGTAGAAGTATGTCGCCAGTGCCATTCAGCAACTTTTGCAAAATAACTAGATACCCATATATGTAGCTGGAATCTGAATTGTTGGTATTTAGCGGAAGCCAACTGGCATTAATCGCCTTAGAGCTGACTTGAGTGACTGTGAAATTCCAACCAGGTTCATCGAGAGCTTGTACATTGAAATGTAAAAGAAGCATATTTTCAAAGATAACAGCAGCTGTTTATGATAATAATTCACTTACAGCAAAACGTCAAAGGGAGTAGGTTGCAAGAAAATAGTCATAAGTTGTGTACCCGAGTCCTGATCATTCCTCACGAAATCTCTTCGACAAGTTTCTTTTTTTAAAGTGTTTTTTCCTTACAAAAGCCGTGAACATGAAATTTTCCTCCTGATTACTTAAATGCAAAGTGTGGTATTTTCAATTCACCTCAGTATGTGCAAGTAAGAGTAAATTCTCTGTTCCTTTTTTTTTAATGAGTTTTTTTTTTCGATCCTTTCAGCTCTTAACCTTCCAGATATTTTGCTTTGAGAGAGATATCACGTTAAACACAACGTTGTAAAAATTTTAAAATTTCCCTTGTGACAAATAAATGTACGGACCTACTCTGGCAAATTTCTTGATAGATACCACTTTCCTATTTATATGATTATTTTTAGTCATCTTTGCTTAGTTGTAATGGTAACTTACATGAAGGGCATTGTTGCCATTGTTGCGTGCTGCTACGAAGCCTTGGCATTATTATTATTATTATTAAGGCCTTGGCATTATTATTATCATTTTTATCATTATCATTATTGTTATTATCATTATTATTATAACCTGAGTTGTTGCATGAGTTGGCCAATTTTAACAAATCTCCAAACCTTATCAAAAACTTTTATGTTTTTGTCAACGTGAATACTGAAAGTTTTAGTAGATGGTTAAAAGAATAATTTTTTTTTAGATCAATAAGATTTATTGTTGTGTCTCATGTCAAACCGATGACACAACTGCCTCTTCCAGGAAAATCATTTATTTGCTAACATAAATTATCATTCAAGCTCGATAGAAAATCATTTGAATACTGACACCACACACTACATCTAAAGAGGAAAACATTCCCTATCCTCGAAAATACGTTCAAAACATCAACGAAAGTGTTCAGCTGCTTGAAATACCGCTGACTATGATGCGTGTTGATCGCTTTGCAAGTTGTGGAACATCATTCCTTGGTTTCAGCTGACCCGGTACTCAAAACTGTCTTTCAAAAAGTGCACATACACGGTATGTTATTAATTTGGAAAAATCTTCATGTTTTTTTTTTGGACCCATTTCGACTTATCAAACTTCTAATTAGGAGTTGATCATTTACATTTAAGCTCAGTAAGGTGGATTCTCAGTGAAACATTGAATCTGTAAAATATCAAGATTATCGCCAAATGACAGAATGGGGCTTAAAGGAAGGGGACTTAAATGAAAGATATTAATTTGTTCAAACTGATTGAAGTAATTTGTGTAGGACATGTACCGAGTAACTTACCACTTGAGTCTGAGTTGTTCAAGAGAAAATAATGGACTTTAAGCCGAGTAATAGATCTGTACTGGTAAAGATTCATTTCCAAGTAATTGTCCAACACCAAAACTGCAAATGGCACCTTCTGTCCGCAGCTCAGCCACTCTCTTTTCTGACGGCTTCTTATTTGAGTATAAGTCCTTAGTACCAGAGAAAAATTGTAAATTTTGATTAGTCTTGCGTTGAATCACAAAACAGGTTTACCAGCTTACTAAATTTCTTGTAACCGCGTTTTTTATGTTGTTGACCATCCAAAGGTATGTCACTGTTACGGATCTATCTAAATTTAGAGTGCTGCCCTGAGTAGCTCGCGATCGTCACATCACAGTGTTCGAGCTTTAACGGCTTTTTCTGCCCTCCTTGCTTAAGAAAATCGTTTATGTGTGTGAAGCAAGTCAGTTGCTAATCGTCGTGAAAATAATTCTTATCTAAGAAACCTATCATAACAGCAATAGAAAGAGGTAAATAGTGATGGCGTTAAGTATCATATACGTTTACTCAGGAATACTCATTTTTTTTCACCCAAAATTTGCGTCCCAGTGAGATCCAAATGCCCACTCAATCGGAGGATTTTTTGGGATTTAGATTTAAGTAAAGATTTACTCTTTCCCATTTGGGCACAATAGTCAGGAGCTTAGACTTGGCAGAGTTCACTAGGAAACGTAATAGCTCTTGAGTTTAAAGTGTAGTATTAGCCTAGAACACTTGTTCTAGGGGCCTGCTCGGGAAGTGGAACGACTGTTGAAAAAGATGTATATTTAGACAGTCCTTTTATGAGAGAGGGCGGCGGCGCTAGATCCGGCTGAAGACATAGCCAGTCTATCTGGAAATGAAGAAACGCGGGCCGATGCAAGGGCAAAACTCGTGGACGCCACTGAAACTCGGCAACTTGCACGGACACGATTGGGCTAGTGTCCAAAATAACTAAACGAGAACAGAGTCAATTTTTTGGCAAGATCTTTCATTGCCAAAGCATATCATTCTAAGCGACTCTCGCAAGATGTGTAAAGGTTTTTTTGCTACGTTCGAATTCCCTGCTCAAAAACACTTGATATACTCCATCGTGAATTCGAGCAAATAAACGAGGTTGTCTTCGAGTACGCCATACTCACAACATAGATGAAGAGGCAAAGACTCGCTTCGAAACAACATTCTTATTCACGGCAAATAATTTACCATCTAACTTCTCAGTAAAAAATTAAGAGCTTGTTACGGCAGTAGAGTTTTCCTGACGCTGTCACCTCGATCAGGCCTCGCAATCGTAAGAATTGGACTGTTGTTTATTCTCAACTTGAAACACAGCGCCTTAAGCAGTTTGTTATCTAACCATTTCACTTTCAGTAGTGTCGAATTCGACCTACTGAACACAAGAAATAGGAAAAACCCTTGAGTTCCTCTCGTGTTTCTCCCTACTCTTCATTCGTGCTCTGGCCACTTCCTCCGCGCCTTACAACAGAACAGAATACAGTCGAACCCTCTTTATGGGGGTATTATATTTTTATTATATTATATTATATTTTTTGTTAAATAACAAAACCACGCAACTAGAAACTAGCCGAAAAAAGTGCTCTGATAAAAACAGTACGAAAGAATCGACTACTTTTTAAATTTTTATCTAGAAACGAGGCTCGGAATGCGTTTTCAGTAAAAGGTGTTACCATGCAAAGGAGCTATTCGAGAAAGATCTACAAACCTGTGACGCAAATACATGCATCAACCACACACATGAATACGTAAAAGTTAACAGATGAACGCGTCTGCCATTTTACGGAATAAGGAATGATATCAGTAACTTCAAAGATTAACGACTTTAAATTCTTACCCGCAACCATAAAGTTCTTCAATAACTAGAAGTATGCTGGAGTTCACAACAGGTGATTGTATCAACCAACTACAATATCTTAAATGGTATGAATATGCAGTCCTGACACTGAATTGACCTGAAGGTTCATCAAATTTCTGTCCGCAACCTATAATGTAAACTTGACAGTGTTAGACAATTTTTTTTATTTTAAGAAGTTAATTGCAATAAAATGTAATAATAAAAGTTTCCACCGTTCTGCGGTCAACTTTGAATAAATCTTGAGCAATTTAATTTTGAAACAGTTAAAAAAAAAGAACACTAAGATGTACGTGAACACAATAAAAGCTGCTTCATCCCGACACTTGAATTATGTTTAACCTAATTTGGAGATGCCTATTTGATTTTAATTGCCACGGTGACTGCATCCGCTTCTGCGGGGTGCGTGTAGAAAAGGAAATGCTGATGTTTGAAATGATGTGATCGTTTCAGAGCTTTTCAGAATAGATCGAGCGAAAAAATGAAAAATAAACCTCCAAAATCTCCCTGAAAATGTCCCTTTAAAATACTTTTACATTTTATCTTGTGGCTCTTTTTTATGCATGCCTCGGTTTCATTAATTTTTGATAATACTTTTAGCTCTCGGAAGTATAGCATTTGCTTAGAATTCATACTTCTAGCTTTTTACTTTCCTTTTTCGTGTGTAGAACGTTATTACGAATAATACATTTAGAATTGAGGTTTTGTTCACTACATGCCTGTTTCAGCATACGTAGAGCGCTCTGCACCTTCCCCAACAGATGTACGACCTGCAACTTTGATTTCATATTCTGTAGCTTCCATCAGACCGGTTATATTTAGTTCTTGAGTACTTGCGTTCATACTTAATCTCGTAAAGCTGTCGTACGAATTAGATATTCTGTAGTGCACAGTGTAGCCAAGAAGAACACCACGAGCTTCTTCACTGAATATTGGACCCCATACAATCTCCAGTCTGTCGACACCTCGATTTCTCACGTACAGCCATGGAACACGATCGGGAACTTGAAAAAGAGAGAGAAGGCTGGTTTATAATGTTAGACGCCCTTCCTGTTGGAAGCAATACTGAAGAAAAATTGCTATTTTTAGAAGAGATTCTTATTGCCCTTCTTTATTACATAGGTGATAGCGCACGGGGGCAATATGAATTGAATCTTTTGTTGTGATTGCTCATCTGAGCTGCCAATGGGTTCAGCGCATCTGGCCCACTTGGGATTGCCAGCTTTGATCCCGCACAAGAAAAGTGTTGGGAGCGGACTTGCAATTGCAAAGTTCGTAACCTTTGGACATTGGCGGCGATGAAGTCGCAGAAAGCGGCAAAAGAGAGTAAGACAAAAAAGAAAATACAAAAGAATTTCGAGTGTTTGTTGTAGTACCAAGACAGTTGGCTTTCTGTCCCGGCTCTCGGGAAAGAAGGCGAGCGTTTAGATCAAAGTTTCGAAGTGGAGCGTCTCCTGAGATCGGTTTGTCGGGTAGAGGATCACGAAGCAAAGACTGTGGGTTAATCCTACTTGTTAAGGGATTAACAAATATGGGGACTACTACACGCCGCTCTGATTACGAAACAGAATCCAAATAAGTAATTGGAAACAATGGAAGCGAGAGACTACAAAATATTACTTGACTAGCTGTGATGTTAGCACCTCGTGGCATTGAGACGAGATTGTAATGAGTAATTTATTCAACCACATCTCATCATCCTATCATTATCATCAATAAGTATTACTTTTAGTTTTCTTACCGCTCTCCAAGGTTTGAATCTCATTAGTTGGACTACTTTTCGACGAAATTACACCACTCATCCGATCTCTGACGAGAGCCACAACTTTTACTCTGTACTTTGTATAGGGTCTAAGGCCACTCACCACTGCAGTCAAGGAGGAAGAACTTGTGTTTGAGGATGGAGCATTTGTCATATTTAGCATAATTATGCTACCTGTACCATTCTGTAGCATGTGCACGTTAACTACATAACCATAAATGTAAGTGGTATTTGAGTTGTAAGTATTCAGCCGAGACCAAGTCACATTGACCGCTGTTGAGCTGACGGGACAGACTGAAACATTCCATTTATGTTGGTGAGGACCTTGGAAAAAGAAAAAATTCAGTCAAAGAAATTCAGAAGGATGGTGACCATAATGGAACTTCATGTTGTAAACATGGAGGCTGAATTTAATGAATGTTGCAATGATCAGGTACGCAAGGCACATAATACAGGGATCAATCAACATCCATGCAGCATGCAAAATTTGCTGAGATGTGACGTCGAACATACGGTATGATTGGTACGTATGATAGTCAGTGCGTTGATCTCGTTCTTGGATTTCATAAGCGAGTCGATGGAAAGTTGCTATTTTATGAATTAAGCACTTTAAAAACTGTTCAATTTCTATTCTGGGGATTTGAGTGTGATTTAAAGCTCCGAGAGAACTTTCCAGGCTTTTTTTATCGTATCAAGAGTTCTAAATCGTTCAAAGAGTATTTCAGTATGTGTGAAATAAGTGTTTCATACTGAAGTTAACAACAGATCTACATACACCGCGTCTATATATCTTCAACAAGGATATAGCTAACACAGTGGCTCATGGAGAACTTCTTCATTAAGTTTGGTTAGGGAAATGTTTAACATACTCTCCAAACTCGCAAAACTAATCCCGTAACTATGATAATTGATAGTTCTCTTCAAAGTAACGATAATGCACTGATGAATAACCTTAATATCTTCACTCACTTTCTGAAGTTGCGTTGTTCAGCACAAAATAATAGGCTTTCAATCTGAAGTAGGAGCTGTACGAGAAGAGAGTGACTGTGACGTTTCTGTCTAACACCAAAATTGCAAATGGATGCCATTTTTGGCAAAAATCCTTGCTCTGCCTCCAAGTTCGTATTGAGGTCCATGAGTTCCTAGGTAAAGATGAGAAAATTTTCAAATAAACGTATTGGTAACAAACACTTTACTTGAAAATATAGTGCCACGTGGATTGATGGTAGTGACAAAGTCCATCATGGAAGAGATGGGGGCCAGTCATGATGGTCCCCATTCGTGACTTTAATTTGCTCGAAAGCTTCCAGGGAGTCAAGGAGAAATCCAGAATGATAATGACTATCCAGCCCCGCAAAATAATCAACGCATACCTCAGGTGGTCAACAAAAACAGTAGAAGACAATATCTTGCTGCGTTTATTAAATTTCTCTTTGAAAAATTGATCAAATTTAGACGCTACAATCCAAATCTTTCATCGCCTGCATAGGCCATGATATAACATTCTCTATTCCTGTATCACGTTTTAACTCACAGTGCTCCATAAATAATTACATAGTAACGCGATGATCTTTATTTACAGTGTTTTCTCACGCTTGCATCTGATAACAAACCTCTAAATTTTTCTGCCTCGATAGCTGTATACTTTAGGACGTATTTTATGTGACCGCAAGTTTTCTTCACTTACTGAAGTTAAGTTAAAGATATGTGGCAGTGAATTGAAAAATACTTCTTTCGTCAGTAAAGCACAAGATTCATTTTCGTCCAGTATTAAGGAGCTATTAATGTCTACATAAGATAACAACATGAAGTTAGGCGCGGGCGAGTTCAGTAAGAGTAATTACCAAAGTGCCACTCTGTTTGTCTACGCCTGAGTGAGTGAGTGGGTGAGTAAGAGAGTGGGTGAATCATTTACATTTTGGAGTCCCCATAAAACTTGTTTCTGCGCTTGAGCAAAGGTCGAGTGGCAATTAGCTGTAGAATGACAAGCTTGATGAACGAAAAAGTGAGAATGATTAAAAAAAAAAAACAATGATTTATTTCTTACCAACAATTGACTTCGTTATGTTCAAAAACCAATAGTATGGTGGATTCCCTTACTGGTGAATAAATCAGCCAGTTGCACGACTTATAGTAGGATGCGCTGCCTGCTTCATCAATTATACCAGTTGTTTTATTCATCGCACCTCCACATACTTTAAAATTGAAATAGCAAAAAAGTTAGTTAAATTCAAAATCAATCTTTAAACATTGAAACACTAAAAACAGGTCTTGACTTCGCCCCAAGGGTTATCATCGTTTGTCCTCACAAAAATTAAAGAGAAGACCTTGTGAAAAAGTCGCACTTGTCTAAAATATCAAGACATGAACGTCTCTTTCCAACCCCCAGCTGTCGAACGAAGTTTCTACACGACTCTGCAAGATGTGGTAGTCATGATATAATTGTGGTGATGGGAGATCCGTACGCTAAAGTTGGGAGTAACAACATTAACAGAGAAGTGGTACCCGGGAAATTTGGTGTTGGAGTCATGAATGACAATGGGGAAAGGTTATGTGGCGTCTGCGGTACGAATAGATTAGCCATGACTGGAACAGTTTTCCCACATATAGAGATCCTTAAGCTACCCTGGAATTCACCAGATGGGAATACTGCTAATCAGATCGACTATGTTCTGATGAATGGACGCATGAGAGCATCGTTCTGGACATGAGAGTGATGAGAGGAGCAGAGGTATATAGTTACCACCAGAAAAATTCTTAAGTTGGTAGTGGCGCATAGGAAAAAGAAAGCAAGGTGAGGTTTGATGTATGTAAGCTGCGGAGTGAAGAGATCAGGAGCAGAAATAACATTGAAGTGAAGAACAGGTTTGAAGCGCTAACAGATATAGAAGATTCACAGGAAGAGCATCACAAGATCTTGGTGAGTGCGTGCAGAGATGCCGCAGAAAAAGTTATTTGAAGGTCCAAAAAGCTGAACAAGCCATGGACAGGAGACAAAACGTGGGAAAAATTCAGGAGAGGAAAGAGGCAAAACTGGAAATAGAGGGCGCATGATCGGAAAGATTAAAACAGCGATGGAGAGAGGAGTATAGTGCGTAGATAAGGAAGTGAAACGGAGTGCCTGGGGGGATGAGAGGAATTGTTTGGAGGAGAGGGCAGCAGCAGAAAAGGCAGCTGAGAATGGTAGAAACAAGAAGGGACCTTAAGATAGCAGGATGGGAGGAACCAGGACGGCAGGAACCAGGACGGCTACCGGAAGTAAATTCGCATTAGCAAGCATGCACACGAGAGCTCCTGTCTAATATGTTTGCCGTCGTGGTCTCATCGAGGACGCCATTTAGTGAGTTTCGCCGTCGTGGCAAGAACGTGAGTATTTTGTATCGTGTTTGACTCGAAAAACGTTGTAGTTGATTCCATTTTCAGATATACTGATGGTGTTGTTTATAAACATCATATTTTTCGTGTTTTTATTGTAAACGACTTCAAATAGGAAAAATTATTTATAAATGTATTTATTGTGTATTCGCCACTGTGGATGCCCCCGCGCAAACGTTAACGACTGCGAAGAAAAGTAAATCAGTGTAAATATTATAGGTTGAAGAATTCTTATAGTAATCAAGTGTTAAATCGATTAGAGAAAAGAAAACAGAAGAATAAATTGATGTTAAATAAAATTTAGATAACTCGATAATTGTTGTTTACCTCTTGCTGAGTTGTACTGTAATTAAACATTTCAGTTCGGATTCATATTTTCCGTTTTATTCAAGAATTTATTTGATTATAATCTTCAGGAAGCCAATGGTTTGGAATACTGTACACGACGAGATGTTATGCAGAGAAATGTTGGTTGTAGATCCCTTTATTAGGACGAAAAAGGGTACAGTGGAAAGAGGAACTGAGTGGGAAGAGGTCGCCGAAAACTTGAACAAAATTCAGCAAGTGTACGTTAAAGTTGACAAGCGGGCGCTCCGAGATCGTTACAACCCCCTTTCAAAGGAACTTAGAAACAAACTGAAAAGAGAAGAAAAAGAAAGTGGAATCGAAACTGATATGACAGAGGTTGAAATGGCACTAGAAGAATTAAGATTTTCGAGAAGTTTCCTTCATACAACAAAATAAATTCATCATTATCTATCCTACCATCGTTATAGCTTTCCAAGAGAAGATTCCTAGCGTCTTTAACGGATGTCATTGCTATTATAAAGCGAAAAATATCGGCGTCGCCGTCCTATACGAAAATGCCACCCGCTTAAGTATTTTGTTTTTGGCGGGCACGACGGGACTCGTCCCAGTCTTACTCTTCCAGTGCCATCGCCGTCCTAGCTTCCCGTCCTGGTATCTTAACGTCCCTGCTGTAGACAGGGAAGGTGGAGGCAGTAAAGATATTAGGGACAGACTGCAGAAGGCACGATGTGCATTCCAGAGGCTATGAAAGGTGTGGGCAGCCACAGGAATAGGAAGGAGAACAAAAATTCGCCTATTAAAGACTTTTTGTTATTAGAAAATACCCCATTTAGGCTCTGACCTATTGTTAAAGCAAAAACATCACTTGACAAATCATTGCCTTGATAAAACACAAAAAAGATAAAAATATGACTATTTATAGGTTAACTGGTCTATTCAGTTATTTTTAAGAAACAAAAAGAAAATTACCTGACGATGTAACAGCAACAAATGATGATGTGGGCCAAATGACTGACGAATATGGCGTGTGACTTGTTACTTTTGGTGGCGTCGTTCTCAAAGTCTCCAAATAATTTGTTAGATTTACGGGACCTAGATAAGAACAGGAACCTTGAACAATAAGCCTTTTTAAGTCCTATTCTCCCATGAATTGAGTTTTTAAAATGCTATTTGGGAGCATAGTATCGCTCAGCGTCAAGAATCATTAATTAGCAATACAGTGGTACAGACTGAAGCATATTGTTCCAACCGGACCTGATTTGCGCGAGAGTCGAGAATCAATAAGTAGTTTTAGGATTTCAAATAGTGTCCCTTGGAAAAATGTTTAATTAGAAGATTGAAATAAAAAGAATACTTGGGCTTCAGTTTCTTTGGCCAACGGAGACGTAGAACTTTCCTTAAAGACAAGCCTTCTTTCACTTATTAATAAGTTATCCTTCACATAACAATCATTTAAAAAATTTTACTTGCAATGTCTTCAAATCGTTCTTCTTCAGCAGTGATAATTTCGGTCACCCAAAAAGAGATGACTTAGAATTTCAACTACAATAAACGATGTCTAGTGTGTATTTTTTGAACAGATAACATAATTTTTCGAATGTATTTACTACTATACTATCCACCATGAAACTAGCGCTTTATAAATAAGTATGTTATCAGAACAAAGGGAAAGCTGTTGCTATGTATCAAAGCCTATCGCGCGAATCATACCTGATGTAAATGCAGAATGAAAAGAGTGAAAGACAAACGTCCACGAGGGCGTCAATTCAGGTAGTGACGATGAACGTAACGGTGACGGTAATAATGTTGACGACAACGATGTTGATGGTAATAACACAGCTTCAGAGGAACTTGTCGGATTGATGTCTGATGTAAAAAGAAAAACATTGAAATACAAGTTAAAAACCAAATAGAAAATGACTAATTTCGATGCGAGGCAACCACGCGCATTTTTAAAGTGTTGTTTAGAATGTTCGTGTTATTGCACAACAACTGGAAAAATGAAGAGAATGAAGACAAAGGAAGAAAATGTAACAAAATCAGTCCGGGCCATAGACAATTTTGTCTATAACATGACGTCATATAAAATAGTCCGGTCCAATTTTTGAAAACTTAGGCTAGCCCCACATTTTAGTCCCGCATTTTCGTCTCTGATATTTATGGCCCAAGGGACCCAGTTCACTTGACAAAGCACATAGAGAGTTTCGCGTCAATAGCAGTTCAAATGCCGTTCGTTGAAATGTGTGGGAGAAATCACAATTTAAAGTCAACCTGCTATGACTTATTTGGAACAATTGAGGATGCACTTGCTATCAGTATCATGTAAATTTTAGGTATGTGTGACCTTTTTTTTTTTTGAAAACAAAAAGAAAAGCTTTACGATAAACCTCGCTATAAATTTATCAAAACAGAAGTCGGGTGCACGTTTGTTTAGTTCAAGTGTGCGGCCGACTTGTTGTTGTGACTTGTTGTCTTGGGCCTTCATGGCGTCATGGCTTCTGCCAGCTATCGATTTTCTCAGTATTCCTAAAGGTCCTTTTGTATTTTATTCAGCTCATGGATGAAAATAACTCCTTCTTAAGAAGAGTCAATCGACTTTATGATAAAGGGCTGTCGAATAAGACAGTCTGGAAAAAGTTTATTCAAAACTGAGCTTCCATTTTAATTTGAAATAATATTGACCAGGACTCCGAGGAAATTACCTTCAACGAGGTGTCGTTAAGACATCTCAGCGAAAAGGGATAGATTTTAGTGATTTTTTGGGTGGGAATTTCATCGTGAACAAGAGTGCTCTTGTGTGAAGAAAGCTATAGGGCGCCGCTCAAATCTGGTCGGAAGTGTTTTTCTTGCAATTCTTGCAGAACTATTCGTTGAAGACATTTCCTTTAACAATCATGTGGCCATTGTTGGTAAGATTGTAGAATAATTCATTTCATCGGTCGCTACCTTCCATGAGGTGTCTTTTAGACATCTTACAGAAAGGGAAAGGATTTGAAATTTTTTGCGGAGATCTCATCGTGAACAAAACTACCCTTGTGTAAACATGTTAGAGGGCGCCCTTTAAATCAAGCAAACAAACTACTTGCCGTTAAAGCAGGTCAAAGTGTGTTCCCTCAAATTCTTGCATACTGAACTACTTGTTGTACGAGACATTTCATTTAACATTCATGTGGAAATTGCTGATGAGATTGAAGTAAATATGTTATTTCATCGGTCGCTACCTTTCACAAGGTGTCGTTTAGACATTTCACCTGACATGGATAGAATTTGATTACAAAACACTGCGAACAAACTGCGTGTACGTGCAACACATTACGGGGCGCGAGAGTAGAGATGGCATGTTTGTCGAAAATTAGATTTGTGGCACAGTAACACAGAAATAAGTAAGTCAATAAGGTCTCTGGAAATTGTGAATTCTGTTCTGCAGTCTCCTTCGCATTACAACCTGGCGGCCACGATAAAGCAAGAAAAAGTATCATTCCATTCCTCTCTCGGTCACATCAATTTGTTTTGGTTTTGTGTAGACCAATCATATCAAAGGAAATGGTATAGACAAAACTGTCTATGGCCCCGACTGAAAATAACAGCTACATATAAACAACTTGTATTTGTTACTGGGTCTAGTTTATTCAATGCCAGTTCGAGAATGCTCAGTTCAAATAAGAGATTATTCTAAGTAAAAACAGATTTGTAACATGGATATAAGAGAATTTACACTCGCTTATTGCTACTAGACTTTGCTTTTAATGGTCAAATTCAGAAAAATCGAACAATGTACTATTTTCTTTATTTTTTTACCCCCAAATTGTTCCTTTTGAATTTTATGAAAGACGAGTCCATAATGGTCTCACGTAAAATAAAATATGGCAGAGACTACAACTTGGAATAAGTTATTTTTCATGCACTTAAATTACCGGAAACAGTCACGGGATGACCCACACGATGAGTGACATGACAAGCCAGTTATCTGCAAAGAATAATCTGTCGTTCGATCGTAAAGTATCTACATTTTTTTTCAAGCATTCTATCACTACATGAAAATCTATATCTCTCTCGACTGATTGTGAATTCTGTTCTGCAGAAGTTCTAAAAGTGGAGCGTTTTCAAAACGATATGGTTTCATTGGTCGTGTAAACGGCGAAACCGCATCGATTTACAAACGGTTATTTATTTTGGCGCGAAATGGGCTTGCTCGCGAAAGGTAAATATGGTTAACCTCGCAAGGAGTGCAGCACTTTGTTGCGCAATCACAACTTTTATCTGTGGTTTAACTTCGCTTTTTCAGCTTTCTTGTATTTTACTCTCCATAAACCGAGAGGCATATCGTAACGACAGGCAGAGATGTCTTGAAATGTTGAAAAAAGAAAAGAAAAGCAAAACGACGATTCTGGATTCGGCCTGGGAGAACTAGTGTCTGGTAGGACAACTTTTTGGACGGTGTCATACTTGTAGAAGAATGGAAGGAAAACTTCAGAATGGGCAAAGACAATTTTTACAAGTTATGTGGTGAGTTAAGACCGTTCATCGAAAGGAAAGTAACGAACATGCGACTTCCGGTCTCGGTAGAAACACAGGTGGCCTTAACTTTGTATTATTTGTCAGATGAAGGACGACTTAGGAAAACAACAAACGCTTTTGGTCTCTCTCGAGCATGTATTCCGTAATTATCCGAAGAGTGACGAGAGCAATAACTGTTCATTTGGGCCCAACTTCCCATGACCGAGAACGCGGTAAAAGATTCCGTAACCGATTTTTTAAATCGGCTTTTTATACCGCAATGTTTAGGCGCCATAGACGGTACACACATTGCAGTAAAACAGCCTCAAGAAAGCTCAGCTGATTACATTAACAGGAAAGGTTACCATTCGCTGAACGTACAGGCTTGCTGCGATTACCGGTACTGTTTTAACGGGTGACCCTAAAATCATGAACGACGGAATGATGGAACGGTGGAATGGTGGAATAGGGAAAATGGCCCCAAATCCTAAAATATGGAACGGCGGAAAATGACCCCAAATCCTAAAACATGGAACGGCAGAAAATGACCCCAAATCCTAAAATATGGAACGGCGGAATATGACCCCAAATCCTAAAACATGGAACTGCGGAAAAATGACCTTAAATCCTAAAACATGAAACGGCAGAAATAACCCCAAATCTTAAAACATGGAACGGTGGAAAATGACCCCAAATCCTAAAACGTAGAACGGATGTCATGTTGCACGAACTGTTTGTACAAAGATACTCAAGCATTATTCGTATGGGAGCAGTTGCGAGACAAAGAAGAGGCTATCGGAGAAACAATTCTGAGAAGGTCGTAATCAAGAAGCTGTTAGGTGAGGACGAGAAGGAAAAGCTTCTTTTTCTCAAAGAAGCAAAAATACTCCATGGGATTAAAAGTGAACATATCGTTTAGTTTAAGGCTGTTGCATGGAACCGTGCGCAAAGATGCTTGAATACTTGTTTTTCGACTCCGCTCCCTTCGGCGGCTCAGAAATTATTAGTAGTCTGGACCAATTTCTTTAACAAGTGAGCAGGACTTTGCGGACGGTAGTTGTAAAACTTCTTTATTCTCCGATGCGTTTCGTGTAACTGTCGTTGAAATGCCTGTATTTATAAGCCATAGTTAGAGGCTATGCGGGGGCCAGTGATCATTAATGCTTGGCCGGACATACGAACAGGAACAGGCAAAGTTGTTAAAAATTTGAAAATTTTGTGGGCAAGGTGAAGAAAACATTTTGGGGCCACGGTTTTAGAAAATTTTAAAATTATTTAAAAAATTAATTAAAACAATTAAAAACAAAAAAACAAAAATACAAAAAAACAAAAAACAAAAAAAAACATGACATCCGCTCCTTGTTTTAGGATTTGGGGTCATTTTCCGCAGTTCCGTGTTGTAGGGTTTGGGGTCATTTTCCGCAATTCCGCCATTCCACCGTTCCATCGTTCTGGCTTTTAGGGTACCTGTTTTAACAACGTTGCAGTAAAATGGCCAGGCAGCGTTCATGACGCCCGGATGTTTGCAAACTCAAAATTAAACGATTTCTTAAAAGATGACAAAATCCCCCCGTGCAAACGACGGGTAAGTTATTTTTTTAAAACGTATTTCGATATTTCGGCCTGAGAACGAGATCTCCATGGCGTAAACGGTTGGATAGGTTCCGTGTAAACACTTCGAAACCACGTCGCTTCCGATGCGGTTTCGAGGTCATGAAACTGTTTCGATTGGAAGCTGCTTCCGTGAAACGATGCCTGAGGGAACGCGCTGAGGGAATTAAAAAACCTACAGGTGTAATAATGTAAGAAAGAGAACAAAAATACAAATTAGGAAAAAGGAGAAAACATAGGAACCCGTGTTGCAGCGTGCAGATATCTTTTTAGCCAGACATACACACCTCAGCCCGACACCATGCAAAGAAAGTCGAAAGAATGTTGTGTACCAACTGGCTCTCACGTGCCAAAAGGCCATGACAAGGCAAATAAAATAACAGAAGGTTTAAGAACTTTCTAGGTGCGTTTTCTTGAAAAAACAGATTAACAATTTTTACTTCTCAAGGAAGGTCCGCAGTTACGCTACAAATACAATTTTTGCGTAGAATTTCTTGATGGTGGAAAGTGGAACAAACATTTTCCAGTCTTATTTTCTGGAAACATGGCGCAGTTAATGAATTTTATGTTTGCATTTATATTTCCTTTCAAATGAGGGGGGCAGAGTCATCCGTCATCTACGGTCATGAAAAGCTGAAGTTGTTACATACAGCAACTTGTACGCCAACAAGCACGCGACATGTGACTTTAAAATCTCCTCTCCTGTTCCAGTTTCCTTATAGTGAACTGTGCGATAATGATGATAAACAATCAAATTGTAGACTAATGAATGTTTAATGCCGTACAAAAGCCCTATTTCCTTTTTTTTTTAGCGAATCTCCAAAGTAATAAAAGACAGAAGAACGAAACTCCACGATTTTCTTATCGATTTTTCGCCTACATGCATCTCTCAAAACGTGAAATTTTCCATTCCTACGAGAAATCTTGAAAGTTTTCACTTTTTTTAGCTTTTTTGATCAATGATCTTGTATAAAAAGCTTAAAAAGTTACGTTTATTCGGTCAAGTGACCACCGAGAGCCAGAATTGCGTGACAGGTGAAGTTGAAAGAAGCTTGTCACAGTCGCAGATTTTCAGAGGCATCCAAGGCAAAAATTCGGTAGTCCTCAAAGATTCTTTTGATGATTTTCAGAGATGAAATTATGGATTATAAAGGGAAGTTAAAATTAGGGTTGTAGCTTCCTGGCAAGGGGAGATATTTGACCTCAAAGTTGTCAAATATTTGAATGAATTGAAAAGTCTAAAAACACAGTCGTTTATTTGCCTCTGTTGATTGGCAAGCCGTCAACCAAATTGGCTAAGGATGTATTAATATGTGTGCAAACCCTCATAGTAATTGCCTAAATACCATCTAAGTGAGAGCCAGAATTGCGTGACAGGTGTAGTTAAGAGAAACTTGTCACAGTCGCAGATTTTAAAAGGCATCCAAGACAAAAATACGGTAGTGCCCAAAGATTCTTTTGATGGTTTTTCAAAGATGAAATGATGGATTATAAAGGGAATTTAAAATTAGTGTTGTAGCTTTCTGGCAAGGGGAGATATTTAACCTCAAACTTGAGAGATTCATACATTTTACCTATTTTGAAGCGATTTCCTTGGTGAAAACCAAGAAAACCGGGGAGTGGTCAATCTCCCCCCGGAAAAGACCAGAACAGAGACCAGTTTGTCTTTTTGAGTTTTAGGGTAGACCCTTTTAACTGGTAAAGTTTCATTGAAATCAGTGAGATGGCATGTAGCACGACTGTCCGGTGCTCAATCTATTTCAATCTAAAATTCTATCAATTTTTACGCCTAAGGTGTAAAGGTTTTGGCCGTTTTACGGCTATAGGTTAACCCCATTTAGACCCGCGTGAAAGAGAAATGTTAAGTACGTTTTCTTTCAAAAGAAGGCAAGAATAACTCAGCGTGATCTTGGTGAGTGGCGAAAGTTGGTCTGTCTCTTAAAAATATAGAATTATCAATAACATGCAAGTTGGGGCATAGTCGGTTGCGTAACGCGTCAAGACCAATTTCGCGCTAGAAAAATGTTTGATGATTAAAAAAGAGGATATTCAGAATACACTTTCCAGGGTACTCACCACCAGTCGTTGTGGATTCATATTTCGCTTCAAATCCACGATCAACTGTTTGTCCAGGATGGAACATCACAAACATTTGGTTTCCATTCGACAACTGAGTCTCATTCCAAGACGACCCCTGGCAAAATCGCCCCAGCGAAGGCGAACTTGTTGACCCACCATCATAAAGCTCCACATAAGAACAAGAATCCGAACAAGGATTGGCTGAACACTCACTTAAGACAAAGTCAGTAAACGTAAACTTTACAATTTTGTCAGCTGGTGCGGTAATGTGCCAGGTACAATTTCTGAACGTAGTGTAATTACTCTTTGGGTAGTTTGTGCTGCTTATTTTCCCGCTGCCTGAGAGAGGAATTGCTACCTTGGGACAAACTGCAGGCAACGAAAAAGGAGCATGTTAGTGTGGGAGAAAACGCATAGGCTGTTGCGGGCGTTCAGTTGGTAAAACGCAGTGCCATATTGAACAGCGCGAGAGTAGCAGAGGAGTGAAAGGGGGGAGGGGGAGGGGGGTTGGGGGTCATGTTGTGAAATCAACTTCATTTCCCTTCCAGACCCAAGCCTCACTCTCTTTTTCATTACGCCGCTACTATCGTGCCCTTGGCTATTTCGCTCTGTTTTACTGACTAGAACGATTGGAACAGGCCAGAATATACATCGATTGATGACAGATATATGGTTTCTTTCGCAGATGCCGTCAAAAATGTGCATGGTAAGAACAAAAAAGTGGCACACAAGGCGCTGCCAAGTGTCTCTGATGAACACATGGTGACATCACCTAACGTCTCTTCCTGAGATGAGCACGGCAACGTGGAACCTCATTGTTTTATATACGATGAAGAAGCAAATTTTTGTAAATGGTGAGGCCACTTATGCCTCTGTTCTCCAACAGGTGGTAAAAAGCAACCAATCAAAATGCTTATCATATAACTGTTGATTCGACCAATGGTCAAAACGGCTAAAACCATAATCTTTTGGCTAATACATTCCAATATGGCTTTTATAAGGGAGTATATAGCCCCAAGGCAAGAATATGAATATTTGAAACTCGTTACAGTGACCAATTTACATTATCAACTCGGTTGATGAAACCAAATTATCTTGTTATACTCCCCGACCGACGCAGCACCACAGTTTCTTTGGAAACTTACCATCTTTATTCAATTAAGGTTGGCATGGCTTCCCAGTACGTCACTATACATCAAAGATGTTCGCATTCACCCTGAGTTGATAACAGAGAGAACCTCCCCTCTTATTAACTAAGCTCCTTATCATTACTTGTATGGGTGAATTTATTGCATGTAACATATTCTCTCAGCGAACTCTGAGATCTCATGACGTTGTTTTCTCTACTTACTTGGAGGACTGTAGTTCAACAGCTTGTAAGTTGCCCCAAATCCGTCATAATCCATGTTTGCATCATCAGACACAAACAGCACCCTCAAGCTTTCGTGCAGTGAATAAAATTTTATAGGAATAAACCTTGGTGTACCACATAGTTTTCCAGGCAGCGCTTCATCACTAAAGCTATTCTGAACTTCCATATAATCACACGAGCAAGCAGTGCCACCACAACGTTGAATATTATAGTCTGGTAATGTGAGCTCAACACGGTATCCTTGCTTCCCTATAATCTTCCAGCTACATGTCTGGTTGAATGGATAGTTTCTTGGATTAAAGGGAGAGGAGAAAGAACCTGATGTTTCATTGAGGATCATGTCTGTTGGGCACACTGAAAAAAGACTACCAGCTTTAATAAAATGCATCTTACTTACTGTAAAAAACTAAATTTATCGAAAGAAAAATCTTAACGAAGCTTCTTTCTCTCCGAAAACTGTTCTAGTTTTGATGAGGTTTACAGTCCCCTGTGGTCAACTGGATGATTTCGAATACCGCCTACAGCTCCTTTTCCGTATGTTGACTGTTTCATACTTTCATCAATTTAACGATTGTGAAATATAGCAGCTTGCGTTCGAGTAAAACGCTTGACTATATGCAATGTTTTTTTCTACAGACTATAGCTGTTCAAAGATTGCTTACTTTATTATTTACATGATATACTCAACAAAATTCTCGCTCAGTTTAATAGGGGCACATGCTCAGTACACTTCTATACTTCCGGTTAATAAACTACCATAGAAGAAAAGCTCTTACGTGAGTGTCCATCTATCGCCTCAAAGGTTGCATTGAATCCTTTGTTTACAGGGCCGGTGCGAGATTCAAATCTCACTTCAATGAAATTTCCCTCGGAGTACACAGGAGGAGGAAACTTTTGACCACAGGTCTTAAAGTCATTAGGTTTTCCTCCATGAGAGGCAACGTTTGTGATAAAGACTCGGGCACTATCTGCTGCCGCTCCGGCACAGTCATCGCTTTCACCTGCCACCAGGGTAAAGTTCAAGAAGGTCAGTTTGATGATTTTGCCACTGGGTACCGTGATATTCCAGGTACAAATCCTGTTTGCGTCATAGTTGTTGGGAAAATTGGGGCTGGAAATGTGACCACTAGTAGCATTAATGGACTCTTCAGGAGGGCTGCAGGCTGAAAAAAAGGTATCTTTCAGTTACTCTTTTGGTTTCTTACTCTAGAAAAAAGAATTTTAGCAAAATAAAAATTGAAAATGTGTTTGAAACTGGCGCTTTCGTTACCATATCTTGCAGCGTGTAGATATCTTTTGAGCCAGTCCTACACACCTCAGCCCAACACCAAGCAAAGAAATTCGAAAGAGAGCTGTGTACCAACTGGCTCGCACGTGCACGCAAAGGCCATGACATTCAACGAAAATAATGGCAATTGCAGACGATATTGCAGTCAAAAAACCGGCAAATAACATAACAGAAGGTTTAAGAACTTTCTAGAGGCATTATCTTGAAAAAACAGATAAACAATTTTTACCTCTCAAGAACGATCACGCAGTCCCGCAACGAATACTATTTCTGCGTGGAATTTCTTGATGGTGGAAAGTGGAAAAACATTTTCCAGTCTTATTTTTGGAAACATGGCGCAGTTAATGAATGTTATGGGTCTATTGATATTTCCTTTCAAATGAGGAGGGGGGGGGCAGAGTTTCCCTCCATCCACGGTCCGGAAAAGCTGAAGTTGTTTCATATAGCAACTTGTATGTCAACAAGCACGTGACATGTGACTTTAAAATCTCCTCTCCTGTTACAGTTTCCTTACTTTGAACTGTGCGATAATGATAATAAACAATCAAATTATAGACTAATGAATGGTTAATGCCGTACAACAGCCTTATTTCCTGATTTTAGCAAATCTCCAAAGTACTAATAGCTTTCTTGATCTATCACCTTGTATAAAGAGCTAAAAAATGTAGGTTTATTTGGTCAAGTGACCGCTTAGAGCAAGAATTGCGTGACGGGTGTAGTTAAGAGAAACTTGTCACAGTCGCAGATTTCAAAAAAAAATTTCCAAAACAAAAATTAGGAAGTGCCCAAAGATTCTTTTGATGGCTTTTCAGAGATGATGATGATGGATTATAAAGGAGAATTAACATTAGTGTTGTAGCTTTCTGGCAAGGGGAGATATTTGACCTCAAAGTTGTCAAATATTTGGATGAATCGAAAAGTCTAAAAACACAGTCGTTTATTTGCCTCTTTTGATTACATTAATTAAGGATGTAGTAATATGTGTGCAAACCCTTAGAGTAATTGGCTAAATGCTATTGTAGTGAGAGCTTCATACATTTTACCTATTTTGAAGCAATTTCCTCGGTAATAACCATGAAAACCGGGGAGTGGTCTACCTCCCACCGGAAATAACCAGAACAGAGACCAGTTTGTCTTTTTGAGTTTTGGGGTAGACCCTTTAAACTGGCAAAGTTTCATTGAAATCGGTGAGATGGCGTGTAGCACGAATGCCCGGTGCTCTCGTGGACACACTCCTAACCCTAATCCATATTTCTTTCCCAATATTAATGTGAGTAGTATTTTTGAGAGAGATTTTGAACATTAAGAGCGTCTCTTTTTCAAGTCGAGAGAGGGGTGAAACATCGACTGAAAAATGAGATACCTTACAGCGAACTTACCGCGAAATCTGAAACGAGCGTCGGCAGCTGTATAATGGCGGAGTTTGGTGCTCTGAATAGGGGCAAATGAACTTTGCTCATAAAAGTCGCAAAAGAAAGTAAGCTCGTATCAATTTGAAAAATTTGTATCGGAGGTATTGAGGAACAGTTTAAGTCTAAAACGGGACCACTTCATTTAATTTGGAGCTAAAGGAACGCTTTTGAAAATCGTTTTTCTTTTCTGAAAAGACATTCACTCTCAACAGCATTAAACAAAAAAAAAATGGTAATATAACGACGCTGGAGGGTAGTGTTGCAGATGATTTGTTTCAATTTCATGCCTGCCTGCAGGTCTGTTCGCGGGCTAACATCAAAAGTGCTCAAGTATGAAGGAGAGTATGATGCAATTGGCAATTTCCTGTCGCGTGGAAAGCTTACTATAAAATTTACGGCTTACATATCAGCGGAACAATAGTCTATGGGGTTCTCTCTTGTAATTTTGCGTTTAGTTTGCGAGGTGAGAAGCAAAATTTGCCGTCAGGCAATCCACAGAAAAGAAGTGAGGCGGGAGCTAATTTGTTTGCTCGATAAATGAGGTGTTCCTCTCTTCAGATCTTCAGACGGCGATGACGGAGACAAAAATGTTAATCTTAAAGGGACAGTGTTACCGTTGAGCATGCGCAAAGAAACATTAATTGCAAGAATTGTTTCAATCGTCCGCCATCTTGGATTTCGAACTTCATGTAAATATGCGGCTTGGAGCGCATCAAAACTGATTAGAACAACCATGTTCCATAATCGACCAAGTTCTCTCTCGTTATATCTGAAAAAACGAACCATTATTTACATTATTCCTTTAATAGAAAGCCACTTTTTATTATTCAGTCAGGAACTAGCAATGTGCATCGTTGGAAATTGAGTGTTAAAGTGATTCTATTGGCCTGAAAGCTCTTTTTTTTTTATCAAGGATCATACACAATTTTGTCCAGCACATTAAAGTTAGTCAGTCACAAGCCCCTAGGGTACTAAATAAGGGTATTTCATCCAAATTGTCACCAGTTTGTTCTGTTGCTTGCATTTTTTGGACATAACGCTTTCGTGTATTTATTGAATACAAATACAACCCTATTATTGACGGAATAGTTTTGTCGACAGTGTACAATCTACGAAACAACCAAAATCATGTGGTGTTCAAGGAAAGTCCTGCGATTAATGGTCTGATAATCCTTTAGATATACACGTATCTTGTTCATAGTCAAAAATACAGTTTCCTATTAGCTGCTCTAACTGGCAGCTTAGACTGTTTGCTGCAAAGGCTTAATAAAGAAAATTATAAGAAATCAAACATAACTGAGCCACAAGGTTGTTCAGTCATCAGTCATTCTTCTCAATTTCCAGACACCACAAATCAGTTACATTGTTCAGTTATTTGGTGACCCAATGAGACACAATCAAATCTCAGTTGCTACTTTGTAGATTTAAGTAAAGAGCGTTTGCACCAAAACAAGTCTAATCTGTTCTTCATTCCTCTTATGGCAAGGGCTCGTTTTCCATTACCAAGGGGTCAATTTTTAAGCATTAGTTGTTAACAATACCTCATTCTCCTTACTCTTTCAATGCAAAGGCTAGCTTTCACAAATTAAACATTTGTTTCTTTCAACCTCAGAAAGAAAATGAGAGTTATTGGGTTTACCCATACATCAATTTCTTGTGTATAATACAAGAGTGGTGGGTATACCACATGCTTCAAAGCTATCTCGACTAGAAATCAGTCGTGGTATGTGAACAGAAGGCAAAGCAAATCTGATGTTTATAAAATTCAAAGGGTAGCAATTTTTTTAAAACATTAAAGGTAGTTTGGCTTTTGTAACATTAAATGATCAACATACTTGATAAAAATTGCTTCACTCATATTATAAACAAAAAGGCCGGAGTGTAACTGCATCACAGCATTGCTGTAGGCTGGCAGGTATATCCTTAAAGTTTTAATTCTGGCACACAAAAGGTTTTTTTTTTTCCCGTGACAGCAACATTTTACAAAAAAATGGTGCATTCAAATGAAATTGCACGCTGTGTTACAGGAGTTAAACTACAAGTGAACATCTTGTAGTTGACAGCAAATAACTCTATCACATAAAAAAAGACTATATCAACAATATGTTTTGTGTGTTGGAAATTTTTCTTTTCACCACTTAGAATTATCCCCACTCATACTAACAACATTAATCTCAAAAAAAAATTGAGATAACTTATGTAAAAAATTCAATACAAATTGCGAAAATTATCAGGCTTTGCACATTGTAACAGAACTCCTATTATCCAAGATGGCGGTTGTTTGTTGTGTACTGTTGCGTTTTGTGCGTAGTTTTCTCTACGAATTTCTCACTAACCTTCCTCTATCTGCGTCATATACCTACCACAATTTACTGAGAAACATACATAACAGAATTGAAGCGAAAGATACATTTTAGAGGAAGAGCCCCAAATGAACTTCTCTCACCTTAAGAGTGAAATTTTGATGAAACTTTTATTGCAATTTTGATTGACATTTTGATTGAAATGGCAATCACTGTGAACAGGAACTACCTTTGTCTTTACCGTCAGCCTACAAAGAAAGCGGATTTCCGATATGCATACTCGCCTTCGTCCGCAATGGTGGCAACAGCTTAGGACAACACACATGAACAAACTCTAAACGCAAACTCATTCAGCAAATAGACCTTTAGCTATGTGGTCACTTGGTATGATGGGTAAACAAGAATTCAAAATGGCTGCTCTAGTATTTCCAGACGACATCTTGGGGCCTTTCCGCACTAGCAAAAAGTTGTGTATTTAGCCAAATTTTCAGTCATCACTAACAGTATACAAGTTGCTGATAAATCCTGGAACGTACCGCCCACAAAATTTGTTCCAGGTAAATATTGGACAAAGTCAATTAAGGGCCTGGCAAAATCAAAGGACAATTTATTCATAAGACAGGCCAGCATGATTTGCCAAAGGATTCCACCTCCACTTTCCACGATTAATCCTAAGTCGTTTTCAAATTTTGGAATCTCTGAGTTTTGCAGCAAAAGACAATTTTTTGCCTCTCTAGTAAACCAATCTCGGTTCAACTACACGCTCCTCTCAGCTTCTGTATACGACAAATGATTGACAAATTTATCACGGTTTGTTTATTTAGTCGATTTTGCCCAATTTTTAGCTGGCACAAACTAGTTTTGTCGGCGGTGCGTTTAAAGATTTGTCCGCTTCGTCCAAAAATTTGTCAAGTCACGACAAACCCTCTGCACTTACAAAATGTTTGTAATGAGACAGAAATTTGTCTAAATAAACAACTTTGTCACTAGCGTCGATCATTTGTGGTAAAAGTAAAAGCTACGACAAAAGAGTCTTTAGTTGCAAGACTTAGGGATTCTAAAATTTAAAACGACTTAGGATAAATCCTCGAAATTGGATCGGCAATCCTTTAGCAAAATATGCCGGCCGGTCTTAATTAAAAACTGATCAGAGCTGACAGAATTTAATTATAATGGCTTTGAAATTTTTAATGCGGATGCCACAGACGAAACAAAAAGTCATGACAAAATTTGTCCTTTGATTTTGTCAAGACAATTCCAGTTTTGTCCACGGGTGCGGAAAGGGTCTTATAGATGAATTCGCTTCATATCTTGCCGAAATTTCCATATTCACAGATAAATCAGCACTCAGAAGACTGAAGTAATATTGACTTTAGTATCTAGGAGATTCTTCAGTCAAGAGTGCTGTCTGTCGCGTGGTATTAGTCGTAGTCGCGATCGGTAATTCTATTTGTTGTGGCATCGTCAACATAAGATTGCCTCTGTTTTTACCGGAAGAGTGACTGTCAAAGTAGGACGATTTGTAGAAGTTGAAAAGATTTTTTCGCGAACGATTATCTCATCCATATTAAGTAGGAGGATAGCACATTACTTGGGAAAAGTCTAATTTTTCAAAGATAGTTTTACTGTTTCCGGTGACCTCTGAGAGAAACACAGAAATATGCATATTTAACTAGGTAAAATCTGCAGCGTCAAATTTTCAAACTACGGAAAATTTCTCCCGTTTAATATGTCGATAGAATCTTTAACTATTTTCCTTAAATAAATCCATCAAAGGGGGTGCGAACACAATCGCACCTTCGCTCTCTAAAGTTTTGATTTGTACACGAACTCGAGGATTTATTTCAAAGTGCGAACTTCCACATAACCGAAGTGACGGGCCCCGTTTTTCATTTGATGTAAGTCTTTTTTGCTGCATACAAATTGGCAGGGGTACACCTCTAGACATGTTTTTCGACTAAAATTTGTTGCAAAAGTTACCCAAATACGGTTTTGAAGTGGATATAGATAACTGACAGATACTAGTATTTTCTATCGTTAGTTCATGAATCTCTCTCGTCTCATAGTAAATTTAAGCGAACGGAAATCACGTTGTTAAGCAAGACTGTACGTAGCGGCCCGTCAAAACTAAAAACGAAAAATGAGAAGAGTGCTTACTTTGGGATGAGGTGAAGATCATCGGAAACAGCAACAGCTTCAGGAGGAGCATCTTCGCCGAACTGCCAGGGTTACTGCAAAAAATGATCAGCATCAGCATTCTTTGTTGCAATATGATCGCTCATAATAAAATCTGACCAACCTTAACACCGACTGTCTGGAGAATAAAGCCGGAGCTATTATAAAGTTGACAGGTCTCTGCGATAACAGGTTTCCCAAGGTCACGTCTTAAGAACACACACTCGCAACAAGCTCACGTTTTGAGAAAACGCAAACGATTGAAAAATCCATGAAAGTGTCACGTTTTCATGATAGTCGATGATAGTTGACAAAATCACTCAATGAGATCGCGTAATTGTATATGAATATGGCGCGCTAAGGCCATCAATTTCAGTTGTATTTAGAATTTCAGCCAAGAAGTTGCAAGTGGAAGATACTGAAGCCGGCCAGAAGAAGATGAGAATGACCTACGAGACATTCTGCGAAGTTTAGACGGCTACTTTGGTCATTTTACCATTTGCTATCTCTGTTTGTGCCCGTTTTTGGGAAAACTGCTGACTGAAAAACTATCATCACAGTCCTGATAACTTATAGAAAGGCAATAGGTGTCATATTCCGCTACTTTAGGCACGGCATGACGCTGCCTCGCAATCCTATCCAATGGGCTGTTTAAGCAGCACTTATCCGCGTCAATTTCCAGATACTTGAAATCGGAACTCAGTCGGAACTCCTTCATTTCATGAACCGCCTTGACTAGTTCCTTCTCCTGGCTTTACACAGCCGAACTCTTAGGAAGGACAGAAATCCGCCCACTCTTTCTTCTTCCCAGCATTTTTTCTTGACCATGTTTTGGGAGATTTTGGCGTGTTCTGGGTATAAAACACAGGAGAGCGTTCAATGCCAGCTTTTTCAAGCATACGAGTGATCATATAATCTTTCATCATCATTACAGCGTGGCGTTTGAACCATGGAAAGAATTGCGGTTCACAAGAACACTGGGCGTTTTACAGCAAGCGCCATTTGGTTTCCAATGTTTCGAGCATTTCGTTGAATGCTTCTGCTGAATTTGTATCCACCAGCGCCTTCTTACGTATCCTACGTCTTCTTAAGTATCTTACGTATTAGGTGGATCGCATCTAGGAGTTCGAATAGAAACGCGTTAGTTCCGAACGCTAGTAAGGCTTTAAAGTTTGCGTAATGGGTCTTGAGAAGACTTGCTAACAATTATAATCTTCAAACTCCTTGATCATGTGGATTATGGATGGACCAATACAGACAAGATGTTTTCCAGGCTGTTTGTTTATAAACATCTTATTCCTAAACGAGGATGGGTCTTAAGGAAAGTTACCACAATTAAAGGTCGCGCCAACTCCAAGAACTGAAGCATACTTTCAGAAAGGAAGTTGTTAATTTGACAATTTGCCATTTTTGAACAAATTGCACACAACAAAAATAAACCAATGGAAGTATCTACAGGTTCGATATGCTTACAGTAAATAATACTTTGAATGCAAACACTAGTAGCTGGGTAGATTCTCCCTTTTCAAATTTTCCCTGCCAATCTCTAATTCGACCGCCTTACCTAACAGTCTTTTGTCATGGAAAAACCGCCTGTACGTCCTAGAACAACTGATGGCCAGATACAGAGACACGATCAAAATAATATCTGTAAAAGCCGAGCTATGAAGGACTAGAGGTCTACATTTTTAGGTAAATTTGTCAAAATAACAAAGTAATACATTCGTAATACGAATTAATATATTTCAACTCTGAATTAAACTAGACTGCAGATAAAGGAAAGCGGATCAGGGTACTGACGGGGAGTTAATATGTTTACATAGACGATTTTGGACATCATTTTGAATAATAAAAAAAAGAACATTTCAAGGAATCATATTGATAAACATGGTGCAAAATGTATTTTGCGACCTTGAACAAGTAGTAATTAACTTTTTTTCGGGGAATGAAAATTTAATCGTACCGTACTCGTGCTTATCATGGTATGGTCTTTCGGGAAAATTCATATTGTTTTTTGCACGTGTCATTTAGATCTAAATCGTTTCGGTATGAAGCCCTTATTTCTTGATAAAGAGCCAATGTTATCACAATGAATATAGTGCATGTTAATTAATATATGTAGCTCCCTTAAATCATATTTCACTGTGGTCAATCAAGAATGTCTTCTAGAGCTTTTATTACACATATACATATTCTGAAACGGTAGCTTTTAGTACGGATGATCGATTCCGTGTGTCAAGTTTCCGTTTCTTTCTGGAAGAGATAGCTTTCGAAGAAAACTAATGGAGTCATTCATGAAACTCTTAAGTTTGAGTTTTATAGTCCTTTTGATGGTAATGAGTGCGTTTCTCACGTTTTCTTTCCATCATGATTGCTCCATCTTTCTTTTTCTTTTTTTACCGCATGCTATAATGTCAGACTTGTAATATTATGCGGTACCGCTATTTCACATAAAAGTCCTCAAATCGCTTAAAATTCGGGGAAAATCGGACCTATTTCTTTATTCAATTGGCACTTACTGACAACTTCAACCAACCTCAGAAAAATGCTTTCTTACGAAGCAATGAAACGGATATCCTACACCCTGTCCTTGTACATTAGCACACTACAAACCCTGCCTCTTGTTACTGTTAGGTACGAAAGTAATCACTTCAATTCATTGTCCATTTCGTGTAAAATACCGTGAACAAAATTTCAACAATCAAACAGACAATGTTGCTCAGTTTAGCAGTCATTACCAGTAAAAATCATGTCGTCTACGGGGCCTATTTTTATTTCTTTGGACCAATCGGGCGCAAGGTAAAACACGGAAAAATTATGTAAAATAGAAAGCAGATGAAGTTGGACGTGGGATAATTTCAGAGAATTGTTTTCCCTTTTGTGGATGTGAGCATGGAAGCCACAAGAAGTCACCTCAATTGTAAATAATTGGCAAACAATTCCTTTGAAATCACAAAATGTTTATTTACTGTAATCATAAGACCAAAATCAAGCTGTGCTTTTTAAGTGATCAAGCGACATTCCCAATAGTGGATATAACAGTTCATTTTGACGACAAGGATTGTGTTCACACTTCCTCGACAACTGCAAATGAAGTGTCGGAATCCTGCGTTGAGTTTGCTTGTTAAGGTATGTATTGCAGCATCGTTCGATGAACAAGTCACACCAATAATCTTCACGTCCTGCATATCGAAGCAACGAAAAACAACTTTTTAAGTGATGGCGAGTGCTTACTAATCAGGCGACCTGTTTTTCCTTGAAATAAAATCACATACTCCTAACTACTTTACAAATGAGCTTGTATGAGCTGCACGGAAGAACAGGGAAATAACTCAGACCCCGAGCGCTTGAAAAAATTCTCATTTCATTGCCAAAAAAGCGTTTACTTTTTCTCAACAGTGAGCTTATTGTAGTAAATGAAGTGGATTTAGCATCGCGATGCTTGATAATTCTCGTGATAAACAGTCTTTGTTAAACTAGGGGGCATGGAAAGAGAATAAAAGATTAAATTAGCTTTGGGGAGAGAAATCATTGCACTTTTTTCTTTCCATTTAGGAATGGTTGATGGACAATAAAGATATTTAATTAAAAATTATTGCATTATTAGAAAAAAAGACACTTACATGCAGCTCCTTTACATTAACTGTATCGACTGCCCCGTCACCTTTGGTAACACCGCCACTCGTTTTCTCTTTGTAATAACACAAACTGAGGTTTCCAGGCCCTGGCGGGCCAGGGGGTCCCGGAACCCCTTGGGACCCATAACCACCTGGAGGTCCGGCGGGGCCCTGGATGCCTTGGGAACCGCTAATGCCCTGCTCACCCTTGGGACCAATGGGACCTTGCGATCCATTGATACCTGGAATGCCAGGAATGGCGGAAATGCCAGGCAGACCTCTTGGCCCCACCGTACCAGTCATTCCGCTGATGTTACTGATCTTGCAATAATAGAGAATAAGAAATAGTATCACTGGTGGGGGGAAGGGGGAGGGAGGGGAGGGGGCGCAACTTCCCATACATCCTCTTAAACGAAATCGAAACGACGTTCTCACAATTTGCAAAGTAATCTTGCTAGAAATTGTCAGCGTGTAGCTCCCATTGCGAGTACTTCAGAGTACTCGCTCCCACGAGTACTTTAGAGATGTCACATCGTGTTTCACAAGGAAAAACACGGCGATCGACAAGGCAGTCAAAGTACGTAAGAAATTACAAAACTTTGCCTGGTTAGCTATATTTTTTAAGGATGCGAAGACGAACATCAGGCCGGGATCAATACTTGTTAAGTTTATCGCTTATCGGCATTTGCATTGTGACACTTCAATGCAAAACTAAATTAGTAAATAAAGGATTTTCAAGGATTTTGTCTGTCTTAATGCAGAACCAGAGTGCTATTTATGAAATAATGAGAGTGAAACGCTTTGCTGACAGATAAATACATTTGTCCGGCGACTATATGAATCGTATTAACGATTTAAAAATCACAATATCACAATTTAAACTCACGATAAGTAAAAGCTAGAATTTTGTTGCCTTTTTTTTTTTTTTTTTTTTTTTTTTGCAATCGTGGCCGCCATCTTTGATTTTAATGACAGCGGAAGGAGGTTAAGAGACTTTTACCAAGGTGGTAAGTGACGGTAAAATCAAACATGGCCGTTAAAATAAACGATCGCGAGCTTCTTAACGTTAACTCGCGCTAATAAGACTGCATTGCGGGCTATAAGTTTGCTGATCACGTCGCTCCAAAATTGTCATGTAGACCGCGCATTTACAAGATCTGCTCAAAACGTAATGCGAGTACCATTTTAATCGAAGCTTGGAACTTTGAGCCGCAGCTTCAGCTTTCAAACGATGACATTCCCACCTGAAATCGGATTTGTTATTTAAAAATTCCTCGCATTCTCAAACGGACTTCGCTAAAGCAGCTCAACAAACAATCGAAAGAAGAGAGCGTATCCATAACATACAGTTTTACTGTGATAATAACTTTCAAACTGTTGTAGAAAACAACGGTAGGAGTTATTTACATGACCAGTATCGCAATTCGAATGTAAAGGATTTAAGCGGAATGTGTGAGAGCCCGCTGACAAGCCCATGAATTGACCGCTTTGCGAGTTGTGAGATCATTGTCGCTCCCCCCTCCCCCCTGAACAGAATAAACAAAGCAAAACGATGAAAGTTAATAAATTTCCTTGCTAGCTCTTAGCTCTTAATGACTGAATAACTTGAGTTTAAAGAAAACAATCACGGAAGGTACAAATAAAAAAATAAAGCGTTTCCTCGGGTAAATGAACACGCTCTAATGTGGCGCGCTCCCCCAATTAAGCGCCCACCCTCTTGGCAACAATGTTAAACAAGAACACCTTTTCGAATAAGTGCCCCCCTTCTCCCTACAATCCCAAATTGTAAGGATACAAGAAAATCCTGTTTCTACGTTATTTATAACTTTTTGAGCTTCAACTACTGCGGAGTTCCTTCATGTGCTGCGCTACTAAACAAGCGCCCCCCGACCTCGATAAAGTGTCATCCTTTCATTAAGCACCCCTCTCATAGTCTGGAATTCTAAGTAAGCACCCGGACGCTTATTCGAGGAAAAGCTGTAAAAGTATAATGAAGCGTTTTGTTATTATTCAGCTTTTCACTCTTCGTTTGATTTGCGTTATATGTGAGTTAAGCTTGAAGATCAATAAAGTTGAAGCCTGCACAATTAAGTTAATGAAAATAGATGAACTTATCAGCCGGAAGGCATGTTGATAAGGCTAATAAATTTTGCTTACTTATTCACCCTATTATGTATCTTAGCCGGAGGTCCGAGCTATTGATCAGCTGCTGGGTTTTGTGGGATTGCCAATGAAAAAGCCCTTGAGTTAAGGGTACTAAAAAATAGTTTCAGATACAACTGTATCATGGAAATTTAGGAGTGTGTAGTTACCTTTTCCATCAGCGATGCATTCAAAACTGTTACGTGTCTTTGCAGTGCTTGAAGTCTGCTCTCGATGTCTTCTTTTGTTTCTGACATCTGAGGCGCGTGCGGAAGAAAAAAAAAAATTAGTCACTTAATGATGCAGTGTTACTTACTCTTTGTATATTATATTTCATAGCGTTTTTGTTTCTAGATTAAAAAGCAAAGGAAAGAGACGAAGAAAAAACTCATTCAACGGGGTTTAACATATATGTATCATTATTAAGTCCAAGTATTTTTCACTTGTTCTCCGGAAACGCTCAATTTTTGAAAAAACAAAAGTATAAGCATATGAATGGAATACATAATACATTTTATCAGCTTTCTGTTCTTAATTTACCCTCGAGTCTGCAGAATGGCGAAACTTATTTCTCCTGAGGCCTTGTGCATTTTCTGACCATCCCTTCCTTATTAGATTTTAATTTTAAATCGCTTTTGGAAAATGCACAAGTAACTTGAAGAAGAACTTAGAGATCACTTTTTGCTCAATGGTATTTCTTACAGTAATTCAATTGCGAAGTGTAACACGCAGTTCAGCTTTCGAAAGTGACCTCATGTTATTACACACAGAAACGTAAGAGATAACTGCGGCTCTTACAGCAGATTAATGCTAACGTATATCACACAGTTCAGCTTTCAAAACTGACCTTAAGCTGCTACACATAGAAACGTAAGAGAGCTTTATTAAGGCAGCAGCATAAAGCCAAACAAACAAAACAAAACAGCAAGTGTTCTTGAAGATGTTTGGACCTTAAAAAATTCATAATTATAACCGATGGAAAAAAAATAAGACTATAATCAATAACAAAACTATCCTGTCACGAATGAATGAATTACGGATGTGAAACCATTTTGCAACTCATTAAAATCGGACTTAAATTGTTAGCCATCTGGCACATTACTGCCAAAAGGAGCTGGAAACGGCGTAGACGCTGCACAACCACAAATCAAGTCGATGTGGTGAGGAAAAATTCCGAGTTATAACGCTTAACCCCGAATCAATCTAATCAGGTAGCTAAGATTAATAAACAAAATAATGCCCTTTCATCCGTGTGTTGGATCAAATATTTCTAGGCACATCATTTCAACCTCTACAACACTAGATAGTTATGGAATTTTTGATATCATACTGAAAGACCCACCATTAGGTCATTGTTCTCAGCTCGAATTTCTGCTTTTCGCCCTACCGCTGAATAACGTGATAAACCATTACCTTTTAGAGTTTGAAAAATAACTTTGATAACTAATGCGAGCCTAACCTTCAACTCGGTGTCTGAGAAGTTCTCTGCCATCTTTCTTATATGTGTGACTTCGTCAATTAAACTTCGTGACTGATTTTCCAGTCTTTCAAGTCGTTGATGTGTGATATTAAGATATCTTTGAGCATTTCCGGAGAAGCTCTCGTCACATGCAGAGGTATTTCCTCTAGCGGTTTCTCTGTTTTGCCTATCTCGTATTTCTTTCATTTCCTGCTTGGTTTCGTTTAGAATTCCCCAAAGCCCCGTCTCCTTTTCGCCGACATATTTTCCTACGGAGAGAACAGAACGGAAAAACTGTGCAAACGTCGATTTAACTTGTTCCATTTAAATTGCATTAGTAATGATAGATTAAATGGAACGATCAAGGAGAGGTTTCGAATGCACAATCTGGTTTGAATTAGATAACTGTTCTGGGTACTCAGCTGTACATGGAACTTTTTACTCGTAATTTTTGCTACTGTTCCGTAATAATCATTGAGATATCTTGAGAAAAATCCTGTTGCTATTCTGATCAGTATTCCAAATGTTTGTTAATTCGTTGATGGCGTGCCGGAAGGTTTATTTTCCTTCGCTTTCAAGGAAATCCTCGGTCCTCGATCCTTGAAAAGGTACGTTCACTCGCAGAGTGGTTACAAGTAATTAACTTCATCAAACGTTAAAAGACTAAGCAGCGAGAGAGCCCCCCCAAAAAAAAAAACACAAACAAAAAAGGAACAATTGTAGAAATAATCTTTTACAAAGTCTTATGTCGGAGTCTCGAATAAGATGAGCGATAACGATAATGAAAACTTTCGGAAAAGGCTTTCTCTATACCTTGCTGTGGAGTGTCGACCCTGTAATCATGATCGCTTTGTCCTCGGCCAAGAACGCTGGTGATAACCCATATGTTCAGTGACAGTGAGACAACTGAAATAGCCACGAAAACAATAACCAGCACCCGTAAAGAATGGAAAGCCCTTTGGATTTGGTTGATGAACTGCAGCTCTAGCTCATCTTTCACGGAACTCCCCGAACTCTTGGACGATCCTTTAGAGCCGGTTTCTTCTGGGATGGAGTGCAAATTACGAAATAACGGCTCTTTTTTTTGTAACTGAAGTGGTAAACTGTCTCCACACTCAGGCAATCCCTCGCTAGTGCTCTCTAATGTTAGAGCTTCAGCCGGCTCCACTTTTATGCGTTTGCACCGTAGCGCCATGATGTTATCTGAAATAGGAACCTTTCTGTATTTACTTTTAGTTGAGCAAAAGATCCCCGCGAAAATGTGAATGAGACCGTGTGGTCTAAAATTTTGATGTCAGTTAACACTTCCTATTTGTTTTGCCTTCAATCATCAAGAAACTTAAATCCCCAGAAAAGAAATTTATCTAACAACAAAAAAAGGAGCCTTAGTACTTTTCCTATGCTGCATTTGGTTTCAAGTCAGCTAAATTGTCTCTTCGAATATCCGAATCTTGATTTTTTGTTAAAGAGTGAACTTTATGCATCAGTTTTTTGTTGCCGAGACAGGGGAGGAATTATCGGTATGTAGCGGTAACCAGAAAAACAAATACAAATGGGAGAAACAATTACTCGAAGAAGCAAACAGCGAAAACAAAACAGGTCCCACAGATTGAATTGTGACCAGAGCTTAACTCTTAGTAAGAAATCTTACATCGTAATAAAATCTAATGTATTTTTAGACTGGGAAGAGGTTTCTTTTGGGATTGTGCGCAAAAATTGATCTGATCTGTGATATAGTTCTTTCGAGTGGTTTGTGCGTGTTTATTTGCCCAGCACAAATAACGACGCGGCTTCATCCTGATAATCTAATCAAGCAATATCCTTAAAATAAACCAAGTGCCCACGTAAGCAACGCGCGTTGAAATTTAGGAAGATTTAGATTACAACCTACGACGACAATTCGCTGTCTTCTCTACTACAAGTCTATCTATCAGAGTTCCAATCTTCTCATCTCATCTTACTTCATTCGTCCCTGGTGACATTCTTTCTTATTCAAACCTTTACTTAACTATGCCTCAACCTATTTTAAATTGGCTCCTTTGTTTAGTTCGCTATTATGGATTCCGAGAACATGACCGTAAGAAAAAATGCAATCAAATACTTATTTTTGGGAAATCAAGGTAGAGTAGAAGAACGTTGGAGACCGGAGACCATAGGGGCAGGTAGACCACCCAGCCGCAATCTTTCAATCAAGGGGTGCATTTGGAAGTTCAAAACAGACACTTTAAGAGAGTGTCTCTGTAAGAGCGGTCCGGTCGATTTTGCTTGAGACACAGATTTCGCTCATTTCTTGTGTGTTGTAAGACATTCATGTACCTATACTAAAACCACAATCAGTTTGATGGGATCTTTTTATTTTTCAGAGTTTTACGGGAATTAAATTTCACTCGAACGAAGGCTTGTCATGACACTTTTCAAGACTTTAATTTAAGACAACTTTGGAGGACAATTTACAAAAAACTACGGAACTCAGCAAGCATCAAATACCACAGCCATGTATATTAACTCTATCTTATCTATCGAGGCGACTTTCGTGAACATCACGTTTCAATCAAAGAAACAAGAAGACTTGAATGACACCTTATCGGTTCGCTTAAGTCACACACGCCAAAACAGATCAAATTCAAGGTAACTTTTTGAAAAAGTGAGGCGTTCTTAACTGACGCAACTAACATAGCTAGGAAGTAGGTGCCGTAGAAAAGGTAACTACAGGAAAAAACTTTGCGGCCCGACCTTTACGAAAACTTTATAACTCCGTGAACTTACCTAATCTTCGGCAATCTCTAAGTTTGGCTGCTATTTTGAGGGACTTGTCAACATGAAGCGTACCAGATATAAACCAAGCAGGTAGATCTAAAACCGTCAGAAATACATACGAAAGCAATTCAAATGAACTTTACTTTCAATTCAAGCGGCAAAATTTGAAATTGTTCGTTAAACTTACCATTCCTACATCCCCATGCGACCATTTCTTCCAACAATTCAAACACTACAACTAGTGTTCGAATTCCCCTCGTCGATTCCACCGTAAGAAATAACCTGTGCCACCCAAGCTTCGACTCGAATGTGAAGTGCGAATCAAATAACATAATTGCTTCATCTTCGAAGCAATATCACGCTGATATTTTGATTTTCGGATCGACAAGAACGGTGCTCATGAAGCGATCGCCATGTTTACCTCATAAACGTGACCGCTGACCAGCCGTTGGGTAAAAACAATATACCACGGGTGGGGTGGGTGGCGGGCATATCGTCATAAGATATTCGAATACATGCTTAAAAAGTTCTAGGACTCCCACTCTAAACAGTGAAGGCATGCTTCGTGGTACAGACAACTTTAATTTTTTTTGTCATAACTTTCTCCTTTAAATTAGAACTGGTATTAATTAATACAGTTATCGATAAAATTTTTAACCGGGGTACCTATATGACCCCCTTTGCTTCTCATCAGTGTGAAATCAGGTGTCAAAATAAGGTGTCTTTTCCACCACAACCTTTTATTTATACCCCATTGCACGAAATGAACACTTCACTAAGAATGTTTGTTCTAGGTCATTTTTGCTGTTCCCAAGAATGTATGCAAAATGACAGAGATTTGATTCATTCAGCTGACACGTTCTTTTAAGTTATGGCGCGTGCAGGTTTTTTTTTTATCAAAAGTCGCGCGCGCAACACACCGGAATTGAAAATTCGTCGTAAAATCGCACGAACCTTAGAATGAGTGTAGGCAACTTTGACTTCTGGCGAGATGAAGTGGATGTTTCAAAGGACCCTCTGAGATTTTTTTCAGGACTATAACTGAGATTTGTTTATAACTATGATAATCGTCATTATTAGCGTACGGTGCTTTTTACCCATAGTTGTCATCTCATCATCGTTATCACGCCGGAAGAAGTATAAAGCCGGCCTGTTGCCTTACCTAACTGCACAGAGAATTATTCTCTCTTTTACTCCCCTTGAATCCTGGAAACTGTTCCTATTAAGATGATCAACAAGAAAGCCTTAATAATTGCTGAAATTTTTGATTAACAGAATGTAAGAAAAAATCGGTGGGGAGAGTTTTTCGCGTATCTTATAATCTGAACGATAGTTTTCAATAAAACAAATACCACTAATTCAATTTACCTTAGTTGTCTCATGTTTAAAAGTGGCGTTTCTGGAGACCGTAGATTCTTTTCTGATTCTTCTTGTCTCTTCCAAGACTTACTATCATCAACTTTTTTCTTG